GTGGTAAGACACTCGCCTGGCGTTCCGCGAGCGCTTTTGTCATGGGTTCGTATCCTGGCCGGGGAGGATTTACTGGGAGCAAATCCTTAAATGTAGCCTCTGTTTATGTTACGGCCCTCTCGGGACGCAACGGGGTCCTTACTCTGATGTTGTTAGAGGAAGATATATGTATCCGTTCCCAAGCCAGTAGTGGCTATCAAGGGATGAGATCCGTGACGCAAGTAACTTAAAGGGAGTAGGGAAAGAAAGTTAAGAACTTAATATTATAATTATTACCATCACCGTTTATATATATAAAATTAATGAGTGCACAAGGGGGAGGGGTATTAACACTAGACAAGGGGATTATTCACAAATTAGTCTTCTGCTGAAGACTCTGGATCAAGAAGCTAGGTGCTGAGTCCGCGGTGCTTTCTTCGTGGCCTCAAGACGTGTCCTTTGAGAATGCCGAGCCTACCCGGGCCACAGGTCAGCCAAAACACGGGTCCACTGGGGGCACCGCCGTGGAGGCCGTCAACCACACGTCCAGCTGGTCTGCTGGCAGGTTCTGAGCCACCAAGGCTGGTACGGCCACTCCACGAACGATATAAGGGGTACGCCCTAGACAGGAGTCTCGTGTGATATCACAAATCACCCTCCTGTCCTCAATACCCCAGTGGATGATCGTCTCCAGCAGTCGGTCCCGGGTAAATCCTTTTACTGCCACTCCACTGGCAGGCTAACACACCACAGTGTTCTTCCGGGGGGACGACTTCACAACAGCTGCAGCAACGTTCAAGGTATGGAGACTGGCTGCCTCGGGTAGACTGACTCCACTTCCATCACAGCAGTCCCAGGTCGGCTCTGTAAGCAGACACGTCATCAATAACTGGGACACTAAAACACCTCACTTACGGGCTCGGGCACAAACACCTGACGTATCCAGTCCATAGATGGCGCTGTCGTCGGAGCACCACCTCACCAGAGGTCAGTGGCGGCGGTGTAGAGTGCTGAACAGGGCTGGAAACTGGCCCTTGTGGCCAATACACTCCGTCCTCACCAGGTGTCGTCGTGCATTTGGAGGGGGTTTCGGGAGCTGACCCACAGATGGCGTGGTCGTCACTGCTCCAGGCCCGGACGATGGATCCGGGTTCGTAACAGTTTAACGCAACAGTAAAATGTGTACTTGGTTGTAACAACGATTCTTTGCGGCGGGGATCGTATTCCAGGGACCTATCCGAAACTCTATGTGTACTAGTGGCTGTACAAGAATGTAACAACGCTTGTATATATCTAAAAAAAAGAGAGCATTTAAGGATGATAAAGAGTCACTTACAATTAATGTATCAAGTTTGGAGACTTGTACACATTTCAGTGCAAGGATCAAGGCAAATAGTTCGGTCTGAAGGGTAGAGGCCCAGTTGTTTATACGGACTCCCCACTCAAAGTACAAGCCATCGCCCATTGTCAGAACAACTGCACTTCCAGCTGCACCCGTGGTGCGGTGTAGGGAACCATCAGTGTATATGATTTGAGAGAGAGAGAATGCTCTGTGGACAGAGCATCAATATGACTTAAGGCGTTGAGCTTTGCCTCAAGACGAAGCTTGAGCTGATCTCTAATTTGCTTCTTGGGTGGAAAGGGAGGGATTAAAACTGGAAAGGGTGTAACCTCCCATGGTGCAGGAAAGTGCCGTTGTTGTTTCTCTTGGTACAGATTATGAACCTGATACATTCTGAGTTCAGTTCCAGTTTTAGTTACCATTAACCTCCCACTCTACCAATATACCTCTCCCACAAGAGGACTCAACTTGAGGACTCATACCTCTCAACAAGAGGACCTAGACAAGAGACTCAACCTCAGCACCCACATACAACACATACCTAAGAAAGTCTCTAAAACCGTTGGTATACTCTCAAAAATCAGATATTATGTACCTAACTCTGCTCTCATCTCACTATATTATGCACTAATCTATCGCTATCTTAATTATGGTATCTGTGCACGGGGTTCAACCACTGCAAACCACCTTAAGCCCATCATCACCCAGCAAAAATCTGCTATCAGAATAATAACAAATTCTGCTTTCAGACAACACTCAGCCCACTTGTTTAACTCCCTAAATATACTAAACATAATCTCACTCCACAAATTCTCTTGTGTCAACTACATTTACAAAACCCTGTTCTTAAATGCAAATCCTGCTCTGAAACTCTCCCTGGACAGATGTAATAGGACCCATTATCACCACACCAGACTCTGGGGATATCTTTGATATCCCCAGAGTCAAACTTAATCTGTGTAAACACTCTATGCAAATAAAGGGACCCAGTCTATGGAACTCACTCCCTATTGAATTGAAAAGCTGTCCAACTTTTGCGTCATTCAAAAACAATACTAAAAAGTACCTAATTTCATCTTCATAGTTTTTTACCTTTTGCTTTAAAATTGCACTGTATCTATTGCTACCCAATCTCTCAATCTTTATGTACCCAATCTGAACATCTTTATCATTGCGATCATTGCTGTCTTCTTATATGTACTGTCAATCTGCTGTATGGTGTCTATTAATCTTGCTTAAATTACCAATCAAGCTGTCAATGTAATCAATCAGAGCTTTAATATACCAATGTGCTTTAATATACTTACTATTCTCTCTCATCTCATTTTTTTCTTGCAATGTATCTGTTATCATTTTATTAATTCTGATAGAATTTACCTACTTAAAATTATCTGTTAGATTAAGGACCTGCCCGAAACGCTGCGCGTACTAGTGGCTTTACAAGATTGTAAATACTATGCTATGTATTCTCTAACCCAATGTACCTTCTTGTATATAAATAAATAAATAAATAAATAAATTTGGAACAATGCTGATCTTCAATAAAGAAATTCTGGAGGGCTTCTGTGCAAGGGTTAGGATGAGTTAGCCTAAGCATTTTTATACCAATTTGACAGTTAATTAGTAGTAGTTAGTAAACAGTTGATTGACAGTTGAGAGGCGGGCCGAAAGAGCAGAGCTCAACCCGAGAACCCTTCATGCAAACTGCACCTACTATCAACAAGAAGACAAGAGCTCAACCCCCGCAAGCACAACTAGGTGAATACATTCAGATTCAGATTCAGATTCAGATGTTTATTCAGGTAAGGTATATACATACAAGTGATGTTACATTAATGGATTGATATATAGATAGAGCTAGTACATACAATGCCTAAAGCCACTATTACGCAATGCGTTTCGGGCAAGAAAAACATTAATATCTAGAACTTAATACTAATTGAGCATAAAGAATAAAAGGTGTTGAGAACAAATACAAATAAAGATAAAAAAAAAAAGAAAAAAGGGGAACATGACTGAAAAAGCAGCACAAATACAATAGGTTGACAAACAGTGTTGATTAAAAAAAGAAAATAACAGATATGGGTTGACAATAGAGGAGTGAGGTAGATTACAGGGAATTTATTAGGTAGTGTTTAGTTTTTATCTTAAACTGGTTGAGAGAGGTACAGTCTTTAACATGGTTGGGAAGGTCATTCCACATTCTGGGCCCCTTGATTTGCAGAGCATTTCTAGTTTGATTAAGACGTACTCTAGGAATATCAAAACTGTATTTATTTCTGGTGTGGTGCTCATGGGTTCTGTTACAACCTTCTATGAAGCTTTTAAGATCAGGATTGGCATTATAGTTTAGCGTTTTATATATGTATAATACACATGAGAGAATGTGCAGTGACTTAATATCTAACATATTAAGAGATTTGAGTAGGGGTATCGAGTGATGTCTGGGGCCAGAGTTGGATATTGTTCTAATAGCGGCTTTGTGTTGGGTAATTAGAGGACGTAAGTGATTTTGGGTAGTAGAACCCCAAGCACAAATACCATAGTTGAGATAAGGATAGATAAGGGAGTAATAGAGAGTCACCAGGGCAGGGCGTGGTACATAATATCTGATCTTAGAAAGAATGCCCACAGTTTTTGAAACTTTTTTTGATATATTTAGAATGTGTCCCTGGAAATTCAGCTTGTGGTCAATGAGAATGCCAAGGAATTTGCCATCTAATTTGTTACAAATTTGGGTATTGTTTATTTTGAGATTTATAAGACTAGAGGATTTATTGCCAAACAGAATATAGAAGGTTTTGTCAATGTTAAGGGTGAGTTTGTTGGCAGTTAGCCAAAGATGGACTTTATTTAGCTCAGTATTTACTGTGGCATTTAGAGCAAGAGGGTCAGGACTGGAGTAAATGAAGGTTGTGTCGTCAGCAAATAGAATTGGTTTGAGGTGTTGGGAGGCATTTGGAAGGTCATTAATGTAGATGAGAAAGAGGAGAGGGCCAAGTATGCTGCCCTGAGGAACACCAATGTTGATGGGTTTTGTCAATCTTTGTCGGCTTTGTTTACCTATATTAAATGACCTCCGTAGCACCAGAAGACTGTTTCTTACAACAATAACAGTTGATTAGTAAGTTTCCCTGTTGGTACACTGTTTAATAAATGTAAACCGCCGCCCAAGATAGAGAAAAGCTGTACAGGTTGGTGGGTGGGACTGTGCTATAGCTGCCCTCCACCCAGTTGGTGGGTGGGACTGTGCTATAGCTGCCCTCCACCCAGTTGGTGGGTGGGACTGTGCTATAGCTGTCCTCCACCCAGTTGGTGGGTGGGACTCGTGCTGTAGCTGCCCTCCACCCAGGTGGTGGGTGGGACTCGTGCTATAGCTGCCCTCCACCCAGGTGGTGGGTGGGACTCGTGCTGTAGCTGCCCTCCACCCAGGTGGTGGGTGGGACTCGTGCTGTAGCTGCCCTCCACCCAGGTGGTGAGTGGGACTCGTGCTATAGCTGCCCTCCACCCAGGTGGTGGGTGGGACTCGTGCTATAGCTGCCCTCCACCCAGGTGGTGAGTGGGACTCGTGCTATAGCTGCCCTCCACCCAGTTGGTGCATGGGACTCGTGCTATAGCTGCCCTCCACCCAGGTGGTGGGTGGGACTCGTGCTGTAGCTGCCCTCCACCCAGGTGGTGGGTGGGACTCGTGCTGTAGCTGCCCTCCACCCAGGTGGTGGGTGGGACTCGTGCTGTAGCTGCCCTCCACCCAGGTGGTGGGTGGGACTCGTGCTGTAGCTGCCCTCCACCCAGGTGGTGGGTGGGACTCGTGCTGTAGCTGCCCTCCACCCAGGTGGTGGGTGGGACTCGTGCTGTAGCTGCCCTCCACCCAGGTGGTGGGTGGGACTCGTGCTGTAGCTGCCCTCCACCCAGGTGGTGGGTGGGACTCGTGCTGTAGCTGCCCTCCACCCAGGTGGTGGGTGGGACTCGTGCTGTAGCTGCCCTCCACCCAGGTGGTGGGTGGGACTCGTGCTGTAGCTGCCCTCCACCCAGGTGGTGGGTGGGACTCGTGCTGTAGCTGCCCTCCACCCAGGTGGTGGGTGGGACTCGTGCTGTAGCTGCCCTCCACCCAGGTGGTGGGTGGGACTCGTGCTGTAGCTGCCCTCCACCCAGGTGGTGGGTGGGACTCGTGCTGTAGCTGCCCTCCACCCAGGTGGTGGGTGGGACTCGTGCTGTAGCTGCCCTCCACCCAGGTGGTGGGTGGGACTCGTGCTGTAGCTGCCCTCCACCCAGGTGGTGGGTGGGACTCGTGCTGTAGCTGCCCTCCACCCAGGTGGTGGGTGGGACTCGTGCTGTAGCTGCCCCCGACCCATTAACAACAACAACAACATGGAGTCCGGAGTGAGTATGGTAAAGGCGGCCTCAACACCTTCCCTAAAGTAGAAGAAGAAAAATAATTCACGATAAAACACGCGTCTTCTACTAGATATTTTAGTCAAATCTTCCCAGTTTGTGGGTGACTGTGGGTAGTAAATGTGGGTGATAGTGGCTGGTGCACCCTCCCCCTCCTGGCTGGTGTGGGCTGGGGGAGGGGGGAGAGGGTCATGATACACAAATGAAATGATGAGACTCGCTCACCGCATATGTAAGTTGACTAGATTAGAAACTGTACTTGTGGTTATTTGAACTCATTGTTGATATAATAATATACAGTATATTGAAGTGGGCCTCCTGGTTCAGCCTTGAGTGGACGTCTGGGATCTGCTCCATCCTGGGACCGCTGGCTAACAGAATGCACTTATTGCCTCTTGGCAATAACCAGCTTGCTTGTTGACGCTTGGTGCCGTTATTGCCTGGGATACAAAAGTTGATATTTCTTTTATTTTTATTCCCATCTTCTGGCTGGTTCCATGGGCAGGGAGTTCAGTCCGTCTAATTACCACAAACTACACAAGCTTCACAAAGCTTCCTGGCAATACATTAGTAATGAATAAATATGATATATTTACTCATTATAATTTTGGTGCTGAATGTACAACACGAAAAAACATAATTTTAATCTGAAAAAGTATCTTTTTATAAGGAAATTAAACGAAAATAAAGAGCTGGTGACGCAAAATCAAGTCGACGATCCAAGCGTAGGTTAGGTTAGGTTAGGTTTGGTTAGGTTAGGTTAGGTTAGGTTAGGTTAGGTTAGGTTAGGTTAGGTTAGGTTGGGTTAGGTCAACCTAACCTAATAGCAGTCTCCGTGGTGTAGTGGTAAGACACTCGCCTGGCGTTCCGCGAGTGCTATGTCATGGGTTCGTATCCTGGCCGGGGAGGATTTACTGGGCGCAATTCCTTAACTGTAGCCTCTGTTTAACGCAACAGTAAAATGTATACTTGGATGAAAAAACGATTCTTCGCGGCAGGGGATCGTATTTCAGGGACCTGCCCGAAACGCTACGCGTACTAGTGGCTGTACAAGAATGTAACAACTCTTGTATATATCTCAAAAAAAAAAAAAAAAAAATTATATATTTATTCATTACTAACATATTGCCAGGAAGCTTTGTGAAGCTTGTGTAGCTTGTGGTAATTAGACGGACCCAAGGAGTTGGTGTCTAGTGCCGGCTAGGCCAATAGGTGCCAGGAGTTGTGGCTCTTAGTGGGCTCCTGTTGTTCCCACAGTGTGTGGTGGACACCTGGCTACTATTGTACTCTGCTGGAGGATGTTGGTGAATTTTCCCCGATTGGGTTTTTTGAGTTTTAGGGGTCTTCGTGCTTTAACCCCTTAGCCCACATGCTTTAGCCATTTGGCTTCAACTTTATTCAGTTACCCACACAATGCTTGATGCAGTGTTGTCTGGGTTCACTGGGTGTCAGTAGACAGTCTTCCAGTTGGGTCTGTGAGTGTGGGGGTGGACACTTGCTCTTGCCTCCCTGGAGGACACTTGTGTGTCACCAAGCACCTACTGTGCTTTGCAATTATCACCCAAAAGGTACTGCATTTTTTTTTCACCGACTCGCGATGTATAGCCTATGGGCTTAAGAATTTTTTCCTAGCTCTTGGGAACCAAGAGGTATAGTACATGCGGCCCTGTGCTGTCACTACAACAAAAACAGCAATAATACATTGAACTGTGTGTTGTGATCTGTCATCTGTCATCATCCTATCATGCAAGAAGAGCCACACATCTGTATATCATCCAATAAAATCAATAGGCTCCTAGATGTTACTACTGCTCTACATAGACTTGGTTATAAGTATCTCAGAATTCTTATTATCTGCCGATGTAGACCTGACCAAATGTAAACTGTCAGCAAAATTATTCACACACCCTCCGTCACTACGTGATGGAGTGCAAAAAGATACGTGAATTCAGAAACAAATATAAAACAAATGTTCAAGAAATTTGTAAATATTTCATTCAAAATGATCTGCTACCTGAAGTCTTTGCTAAATTTTCTCAGTTTGCTAACTGTAGGTGGTAACTGAGTCATTGTAACCTATCCACCGCTGCCCACTGGAGGGGGGGGGGTGGCTGTACCTCTACTGCCCACTGGATGGGGGTGGGGGTGGCTGTACCTCTACTGCCCACTGGATGGCGGTGGGGGTGGTATAACCTATCCACCACTGCCCACTGGAAGGGGGGAGGTGTAACCTATCTACCACTGCCCACTGGAGGGGGGGTGGCTGTACCACTACTGCCCACTGGATGGGGGTGGGGGTGGTATAACCTATCCACCACTGCCCACTGCATGGGGGGAGGTGTAACCTATCTACCACTGCCCACTGGAGGGGGGGGTGGCTGTACCACTACTGCCCACTGGATGGGGGCAGTGTAACCTATCCACCACTGCCCACTGGATGGGGGGAGGTGTAACCTATCTACCACTCCCCACTGGAGGAGCGGGGGTGGCTGTACCACTACTGCCCACTGGATGGGGGTGGGGGTGGTGTAACCTATCCACCACTGTCTACTGGAGGGGAGGGGTGGCTGGGTAACCTATTTACCACTGCCCACTGGATGGGGGCAGTGTAACCTATCCACCACTGCCCACTGGATGGGAAGGGGGGTGTAACCTATCCACCACTGCCCACTGGATGGTGGGGTGGGGGTGGTGTAACCTATCCACCACTGCCCACTGGATGGTGGGGTGGGGGTGGTGTAACCTATCCACTGCTGCCCACAGCTATACATACAGCACAGATATACATGAACGTGGTATCCACTGCCATGTTCCAGAGACAAATACTGCCTTCACTGTTTCACACATCACAGTGCCACAATTTCAAACAAGAACTTATGACCCTGAAAGGGTGCCAGTAGTACAGGCAGGTTCACTCTCAACTCAGTGAGGACTCTGCATTTGAATCCCAGACAGAACAAAAATGGTTGAATGTGTTTTCTAACACCTAATGCATCTGTTTACCTAGCAGTAAATAAGTACCCAGGTGTTAGCTTGTTGTCAGGTTGTACCCTGGTAAAGGGTCAGTAGTTAACCTTGAGCAGACCTCAATATAAGCCTAACATATATTCACTGGCTGCCTGTCCCTCAACACAACGAGGGACAGTACAACACAATAAATTCTCATTGTTATTAAAGTATCTTGTAACATCGAGCACAAATTAAGGGAAGGAGACCTCTCACTTCATATAAAATACCAAGTAGTTAAAGCATTGATTCAGTATCTCCAGTCAGCCAAAAAATTGGGCCATATGTGACCTACACGTATAACTCTCACCACCTAAAGAATCATACACAGAAAATGTAACTTAGCTCCAAACAATAACAATGACCAGCGCCACCATCAACACCACATCCGGTCCTCTACGCCAAGTGCATCAAGTCTAACTCTAAGAAACTGCTTTCAAGCCTTGCCAAATCATAAATATTGACACGCCACTGTGACACATCTCTCGACATTACGACTTGTGCAGTCATCAGGAGAAAACCTTCAAGCAAATTGCATGTACCGTAACGAAGAAGTGTATAAGCTGTTACCTAGCAGTAAAATAGGTACCTGGGAGTTAGTCAGCTGTCACGGGCTGCTTCCTGGGGGTGGAGGCCTGGTCGAGGACCGGGCCGCGGGGACACTAAAAAGCCCCGAAATCGTCTCAAGATAACCTCAAGATCTCAAGAAGCTTGACTGATTCTTCATATTTTAGGTCCTAATGTCTTGGAGAATAAAAAATTTTATGTGCACAGATTGCTGTGTGGACTGTGTCCTTGGGATCATCCCTAGGTTAGGCTGGGTTATGTTAGATTTGGTAAGGTAGGTTTTTGAAGCCAATTTTTTATTCATGTAATTCATCAGTATTCAAAAATTGGCCCAGAAATAATTCTGTAATATCTTACCTTGTACATTTATATAAAACAATTTTATTTGTTTTATTTGAAAAACCAGGCAAGATGGAAGCATGACTTGTTTCCTTTACCAAGTTTAGATGAGCAATGATTCCGTTCCCAGTTTATCCCAACAAGGCCAGTGTTCACAGAGACCTGGTGGTTGCACTCCCAACCAAAATGTGTGCAGACTTTATCCAGTGTGTCCAGACATGCCTCACCACTCACAAAAGTGGTTCACACAAACCCCTGCAGATTGCAATAGGTCTCACAAGCACATTTTACAGTAGAAGAATTGGTTTCTTTTAAGAAAGGTTTCTAATTCCTGGGATTCACTTTGCCATTTAGTACTGCATAATCTAAGTGAAGCCTAACAAGGCTGAGACAAAAATGAAGTAATCAGGGGAGGAGGGGGGAAGTGCTAATGCTTCGAGATACGAACACCAGTAATCTATTTGCCTTGTTCTGAATATTTGAAGATTTATATACTTGTTTGACTTAAAATTTCTACTAATCATGACTAAAAAAAAAAATAGTTTATTGCACTGATATTTGTCATTTTCCTCATTATTTCTTGTAACTACAATACTGTATATTATTACCAAGGCTTAAAACCCTACATTTGGCATCCAAAAATTGGATGTCAATCTTTCTTTTATTTTATAGTTAACAATAGTGATTCATTGTGTAAGAGACAGGCAGCCAGAGTGTAATTATCTAAGTGTAATTACAGGATGAGAGCTACGCTCGTGGTGTCCCATCTTCCCAGCACTCTTTGTCATATAATGCTTTGAAACTGCTGACATCATACATGTTAGGCTTATATCGAGGTGCCCCCCCCCCCCAATGTCAAGTTACTGACCCCGCCCAGGATGCAACCCCACAACAAGCTGACTAACTCCTGGCTACCTACTTACTGCTAGGTGAATGGGAGCATTAGGTGATAGGAAATGTGTCCAAACATTCATATCCCGCCTGGGATTCGAACCCGGAATTCTCGATTGTTAGTTGGGAACGAGCCCGACTGTACTGCCGGGACCCTATTTTAAAGCCTATCTAAGGAATTTTATGAGGAAACTTGGGAGGAACTCGTTTGAGTTTGAAATCGTACATTTGAACTTATTTTACACCAGGGAGTTGAATGGTAAAATCGCTAGAGTATAATGAGTAGACAAGTGAGATTTTTAATGTGTAAATGTTTATCTGTAACATTCTTTTACTCTCTTGCTCACATTTTCTCCTGCAGGTTGATGCCTTCCCACCCGATTAAAGTGGGACATGGGAGTAATTATAATATATGTATAATTTATACCATATTTATTTTAACATTCATGTTTAGGAAAACTTGTGTTTCAGAACAGCTTCATAATTTTGTACTATATAACATGAACTATATCAAGTAAATGAGTTAATTTGTATTACAGCAACTTGTTCCCTTCGCAGCTTATTGGATTGCGTGCTGAACTCCATAAGAAACGTGAGGAGGCAAGCAGGTTTGGAGCTGGACAGAGAGGACTACCTAGCAGGGATGGAGATAAGCCAACCATAAAATCAAAAACTTTGAAGTCCTCTAATCCTGGAGTTAATGCCAGAGCTGCTAGGGATGAAGAACAATTGGAAGAGGAGAAAATAACTGAAGAAAAAGCAAGGTATTAAGTCAACATCTTATAATATAAAATACGATGTAAGAACTAAATGAAGACAAGTTCATATTGGAACTTTACATTCCTTGCATGGTATTGTACTCTATTCACATGATAATCCTGCAAATCCCGGAATTTTTCACATGCAATACATATGTTTCTTTTCCAAGCAAGGCCATCTCGGTTGCACCCCGAGCTAGATGCCAGGTTTTCCTTGAACACTGCTCACACACCAGGCCTTAGTCAACTTGTATCCCACCCTATCAAAGAATTCTTCAAATGGTTTGGTCATGTAGGGAAGGGGACCCACCCTATCAAAGAATTCTTCAAATGGTTTGGTCATGTAGGGAAGGGGACAGTTGAAGTTATCTCAACCATCACACAAGGAATGCCAATTGTTCTGACACCACTGAGCAGTGAAAGCTCTCAACACCTCCAACTGATAATTACAAACATAAAGAAAGCTAATTACAGTATTGATCTATCAAAAAGCTAACCATTACCCGATCACCGCCAGTTAACCTTTAGGTTACTACTATAGGATCAATGGAGCTGGAAATAGTTACTTGTTGCCTAGTCTCAATCTGCATCACTTGCAGCTTTGCAGGGCCAATATAATTAACTTTATTTCTGTAATCTTTCTTTGCAGTGGGTGAAGCTGCCAGGTATTTGGGGGGTTGTTAGTGAAAGGTCTGTGGTTGCCCTTTGACCTGCTCTGGAGCTTGGTTCATGGCCCTCAGGGTTTGTTGCTTAATACCAACATGTTCCCTTATCCTCCATCCCAGTACAGTTTGAAATCTCCATTTCTCTGCAGGTGCATTTCTGAGTTCTGGTTAATGGTTTGAATATACATTCCCAGAAAACCCTTCCCTGTATAGGTTTCCATTGTTTCATCTTCTTTTGAGTGTGGGCTCAGCAGGACTTACCTTGGTTTCTACTGCATGGCTGGATGCTTGTCTGAATTTGATTCGTCCTCCTTTGAGTTCAGGTCCTTTTTCATTTCCTGTTTGCTGTAAAGTATTAGGTCTTTAGGCATAAAGTTTAGGTTTATTAGGCCAGCCTCCTTCAAGACCAAGTAGAAGGAAGAGTGATAATTATTAAATATTTATATTATTATTATAATAATTATTATACTGTAATAATAATTATTATACTGTAATAATAATTATTATAATAATAATTGTTGTACCAGTATTTAATAATTATCACTCTTCCTTCTACTTGGTCTTGAAGGAGGCCGGCCTCGGGTGAAAGAGGGCTGTGACGATCACTGTCTGGAACCCGTAGGTGCGGGACCAGGACGTCCACCTCCCGAGGGTCGTGTGGCCCAGGCTCTGCTTCAGGAGGCTGGGGTCTTTCATACCCTTGATGGGGTGGTTCTTCTCCGGCTCCATCCACGGCGGTCTCCGGGGTTGGAGGTCCCTGTGCCCTTTTTCACCAACTTCGAGATCAACCCCGGAACTCACAGTTCCTGCGACGGCGCTGGGACCAAACGTATTGGTGTATGCCTTTCCATTGGAGACTTTCAGTGCCGTGGAGAGGGGGGACCTGCTGCCTGGGTAACAGCTTCTTCCCCGAATCAACCTACCCTGGCTCTGCGCCTTGTGAGGCCACTCCAGACCAGGCCGACGCCAGTGTGCAAGTCCATAGTCTCCTGAGACTGATGGATGCCTACTACTATTAGGTCCTGGCTTTGTACTGACTGGCAGACAGCTCCCTATTTTCTTTGGGGGGGTAGGAGGTTGATGTATTCAAGCCCTAATTTTACAGTCTACCTCAGTTTTGCAGGTATTTCTCAGTGGACCCTTTCACAGCTATCAGCAGTGCTCTGTTTGCTTCTATCCTGCCCAGCGATGATGGGGATGGGCTGCTTCATGTCCAGGTGTCTCAGTTGCCTTCAATTATGGTGTCAATGGACTACAGGGCTCGAATGAGGCTCTTTTTGTAGAGAGTAGATCTTCTCTGAGTAGTCCTGAACATATTTCGGTTTCCAGCCCTAGACACTCCATGTCCTTTGTCTTGTTTTCCACAGTTACTGCCACAGATGCTGTTCTCAAGTTGTTTTTCTACTCCTGCATTATGCAGCAGAAGACTTGTATGTGACTCATTGTGCCACTGGCTTACCATTTTGGATTTTCTCCTATAGTTTCTCGTCCTCGGTAGTTCTCCTCTTGGATGCCTCGGGGATGCGTGTATCATTCTTCCCTGCTGGAGCTGGTTCTGTTGCTCCTTTGGGTTGCAGGGTCGCTGATTTTAGATTCGCGTTTTGCACTCTCGATCGTGGTGTTCGTTTCTCGTCGTTTGTGTCGGCACAGGTGGCTTCGTTATTGGTCTCCCACCTGCATGTTTCGTCTAGGGGGCGGTGTTTGGTTTTCCTATCACTGCGAAGGGTCCTTCGGTCTTTGATAGGGTTGGTTTGTCTTCCCTTCGGGGTTGTTCTGGGACCGTTGTCTGGGATTGTCCTGTCACCTCATGTTGGGTGGTGCTGGCAGAGCCGCTCCTGCTTGCGTTCAGTGTTGCGGTTCCTTCTGCTCCATTCCACTTGCTGTCCTGGGCGTTGTTCCCCTCTGGTCTGCTCTTGAGTTTTGGGGCCGTCCTGGTCGTTGGCCTGGGTGGTCTTTTTCTTCTCGTTTTGGTCTTTGTTTTGTCTCTGGTTTTGGTTGTTCAGTTAGGACGTGTGGTATCCGTCTCCCGGTTCCTTCCCTGTTTTACTTATCTTTTGGTAAGGTAGCTCCGGGGAGCCGACGGGGCTCCCCCCAGAAAACCAGCGTTGAATGTAATGAAACGCCATTTTCTGGGTGAGTCCCGGACGCTCCCCGGCATCCCTCCCTCCCTCCGGTCAGCGGCGTTTTCGCGTATTTTGACATCCAGCCTAAGAACTGCCAGTTGGATCGCCGGCGTGGAGGGTCTGGGGCTCCCCCTTCCCCCTCTCGGGGAGGGGGGGGGTTGCGCAGACGGTGGCGCGGCGACGTGACGACGTCATGCTAGTTTGATAATTTTGTTTGGGGCGTTCTGTCCACTCGTTCGGCTTTCGGTAGCAATAATTTCACCAGAATGGGGGTTTGTTTTGGGGCGCCTATCTTTCTAGGTGCCTGTCCCGGTCGATGGCAGACATAGAATGCTCCCAATCACAAGGGGGTTTCTATAGGCCATTGCTCCTCGTGCCTCTCTGAGGGGGCCAGGTTCTGGCTCGTGGTCCCTGGTAGGCAAGAACTCCTAGCACATTGACTGATGCCAGAAAGTTATACATATCCATTCAGCCTGGATAGCTCCGGGGAGCCTCCGGGACTCACCCAGAAAATGGCGTTTCATTACATTCAATGCTGGTTTTTTGTTAAGACTTCTCTGGTGATGGTCTGGTTGTGGGAAGAGATTATATGTTCCTTAATGGAGCCCTGTTGCTTATGCATCGTTAATCGCCTGGAAAGAGATGTTGTCTTGCTTATATACTGAGTTCTTTGAGGCTTACAGTCCCCAAGTGGGCATTTGAAGGCATAGACGACATTGGTCTCTTTTAAAGCGTTCTGCTTTGTGTCTGGAGAGTTTCTCATGAGTAGGTTGGCCGTTTTCTTGGTTTTATAGTAAATCGTCAATTGTATCTTCTGATTTTTGTCTGTAGGGATAACGTTTCTATTAACAATATCTTTCAGGACCCTTTCCTCCGTTTTATGAGCTGTCGAAAAGAAGTTCCTGTAAAATAGTCTAATAGGGGGTACAGGTGTTGTGTTAGTTGTCTCTTCAGAGGTCGCATGGCGTTTCACCTTCCTTCTTATGATGTCTTCAACAAAACCATTGGAGAAGCCATTGTTGACTAGGACCTGCTATACCCTACAGAGTTCTTCATCGACTTGCTTCCATCCTGAGCTGTGGCTGAGAGCACGGTCGACATAAGCGTTAACGACACTCCTCTTGTACCTGTCTGGGCAGTCACTGTTGGCATTGAGGCACATTCCTATGGTTGTTTCCTTAGTGTAGACTGCAGTGTGGAAACCTCCGCTCCTTTCCATGACTGTTACATCTAGAAAGGGCAGCTTCCCATCCTTCTCCATCTCGTAAGTGAAACGCAACACAGAATTCCGCTCAAATGCCTCCTTCAGCTCCTGCAGATGTCTGACATCAGGTACCTGTGTAAAAATGTCGTCAACATACCTGCAGTATATGGCCGGTTTCAAGTTCATGTCGGCTAAGACCTTTTGTTCGATGGTACCCATGTAGAAGTTCGCAAACAGGACACCTAGGGGAGAACCCATGGCGACCCCATCTACTTGCTTATACATGTGCCCATCCGGGCTCAAGAAGGGTGCCTCTTTAGTACAAGCTTGGAGTAGTTTCCTTAGAATGTTTTCTGGTATGTCAAGAGGAGTACAGGCCGGATCACGATACACTCTGTCGGCTATCATCCCGATTGTTTCATCCACAGGTACGTTGGTAAACAGTGATTCTACATCCAACGAGGCTCTTATCCCTGTGGCCCGTGTTCCCTGCAGTAAGTCAACAAATTCCTTTGGAGACTTCAGGCTGAAGGTGCAAGGGACATAAGGAGTCAGCAGGCCGTTGAGTCGCTTCGCCAGTCTGTATGTGGGTGTGGGTATCTGGCTGATGATTGGCCGAAGTGGGTTTCCAGGCTTGTGTGTGTGGAGATGTCAAGACACACAAGCCTGGAAACTTTTTGGGCTAGGGAAACAGCTCAAAAAAGGAGCATTTCCTTTAATCATGATTGTTACATAGTCTCCCCAGCTTATTGTTACATAGTCTCCCCAGCTTATTGTTACATAGTCTCCCCAGCTTATTGTTACATAGTCTCCCCAGCTTGGTGCCTTCTTTTGATAATTACTTACTTTTAATCAAGATGCATCAATGAAAAGCATAGAGAATACTTTCATGCAACGGGATGCAAATGTTGACTAAAACTGCATATTTTCCTCAGATCCATCTTGGAGAAGAAGGCTGCCATGTATGAGAGGCTACATGGTGGAATGGAAGCTCTGGAAGATGATACACTTAACCAAAGATATCTTATTGACTTTCAGGTAAGTAAGAAGGTGAATTATGTGAATTATGAGCATTCCGTTCCTGATGTTTGTGTGGTGTCACCAACATCAAGAACAGAACTGACTTGGGGAGCTGGCTGGGATCCGGGGCCAGGATGCCTGGTGGTGGTGGTGGTAATCAGTAGTAATGAGTTTTGTGCTTGTTTGAGTGAATCCCTTGTTCAATGTGACTTATTTAATGGAGTTATTTGGCAGTTTCTAAGGCTTCATTTTCTGTGAACCCTCAGTATCTGTAAAGTTGCGCAGACTTTCTGGAGGCTTTTTCTGGTGATGTGGCAGATTGTGACTAACTCTCTGCGCCTCTGTGAAGGAGGCCAGGTTCTGTCTTTGGTCCCCAGTAGTAGTAGGCATCCTGCAGTCTCAGGAGACTATGGAGTTGCACTCTGGTTGCCTGTCTGGAGTGGCCTCTCCAGGGTGCAAAGCCAGGGTAGGTTGATACAGGGAAGAAGCCATGCAGTAGGTCCCCCCTCTCCATGGCACAGAATGTCTCCAATGGAAGGGTAAACGCCAATATGGTTGGTTCTAGAGCCTCGCAGGAACTGTCAGAATGAGGTTGAAGGCAACTACGAACTGCCCTAGAGGCTTCAGCTCTGGGGTTTACCTCAAAGGTGGTTAAAGAAGGCACAGGGACTCCAAACCCAGAGACTGCCGTGGTCAGGGCCGGGGAAGAACCGCCCCCAGCAAGGACAAGAACGACCCCAACCTCCTGAAGCAGAGCCTGGGCAGCATGAGCCCCCAGGAGGTGGACATCGGAGCCCTGCACCTACGGGTTCCAGACAGAGATCGTCACAGCCCCCTTTCACCGAGGCTGGCTTCTTTATGATCCAGCAGAAGGATGAGCAATAATTATTAATTACAGTAATTATATTATTATTATAATATAATAATAATCTAATTATTAAAACAGGTCCCTAGTAAGCCAAACAGAACTGTCCTTGTTTAATGTGACCTTATACCTGAATTTACACGAGGGCCCCTAACACAGTAATGGCCTTGACGAGAACAGGATGTTGGCAGCTTCTCAAAGGTCCTCACATTTGCCCTGATGATTTTTCTAGTTGGATTTAAAAATTTTATAGTCTTTATATTTACAGCTTTGGAAGGAAGGCGTTCCATGGGTTTCTTTCACCTTGTGGGGAAAAAGCATCTCCTGTTTTCAGTCCTACATTGTGACTTGGTGAGCTTATAACTGTTGCTCCTTGTTTGTGTTACATCTTACCTTTTGAAGAAATTGTCAGGATCAACATCCTCCAAATGTTCAATATTTTAAAAGTTTTGATGAGATCTGCCCTGTCATGCCTGGCGTGTAGTGTTGTTAGCTCTGTGGCCTTCATTTGTTCCAAGTATGAGAGTTTACTTAGTTCTGGAATGATTTTTGTTGTCAATTATTGCACTTTCTCCAGAGCAGCCATGTCCTTCTGAAGATGAAGTCTCTATGCCTGGATACAAGTGTAATATAAAGTACCAGAGATTTAAACAGTTGAATCACTACCTTCTTTTCCTTAAAGGTATACTTGAGTATTCCTATGGTTTGGTTAGCTATTCTTAGTGCTGCTCCCACCTGTTGTGCAACTTTTAGTGAATGGTGGATTTTGATTCCAAGGTCCGTTTCTTCATCAATCTGCTGCAAGGTAATGTTATTAATTTCCTAGTTGACGTGGGTTGGTATTCCCCACATACAAGATCTTGCATTTCTCGATATTAAAAAGCATTTACCAGTTCTCTGACCATTTGTGGACTTCATGTAGATCTCTCTGTAAGGTTTCAAAATAATTTTCACTTCCCCACTTTGTCATAAATCTTATTATCATCTGAAAATCTGATAGACCCTAAGTGGTAAATTTGATGTGGTTTGTAATATTCTCATCTGTCATTGATGTATGTGACAAAAAGGGTTGGCCCCAAAATGAACCCTAGCGGGTACCCCACTCACCACATTTCTCCGGCCAGATTCATTCCTATTTAGCACAACCCTTTGTTTTCTTCATTTTAACCATTGTTTAATCCATTCTAGTATTCTACCACATTTACAGATGTGTGATGTCAAGCTGATCGGACGGTAGTTTTCTGCCGAGCTCATTCTGCCTTTTTTGAAAATAGGGATGACATTAGCATATTTTAAATCTATGAGAACTAGCCCATGGTCCAGATATTTTCTGAAAATCATGAAGGAAGAAAGAGGAAGAAAGGGATTTTAATATGAAGTAATGTCAATAACATAGCTTCAAGGAGCTACATAGGTCTTCTTCTAGAAAAGTTAACTTTCTTGCTTTTTTCTATGCAAAGTCTTTTAGGATTTTGTTTCTCCTGATGTTACAGTCACTGGTAGTGTCAAGAAAATCCAAAGAATAATAAATACATTTGGAAGTGCGGTAGACCTGTTGTAGGAGGCAAGGAATTGAAGCATTTTCATGGGGGGTTCAAAACTCTGGTGGCAGATTGGGCTTTAGTGCCTCCATTTGGCTCTATTAGAAGGCAGTTTTACTTGACAATACTAGAGTAGATTACCCTAGTGCAAGGCTGGGTTGGGGCAATTTGGCCAATTGGATTCAAGCCAGCTCTGTTTGTATTCATGCAGCCAAGTTAAAATGAAGTTTGTACACAGGAAAATATCCTTAGGTGACCCTAGTCATAAGTCCGCTTTGCTTTATATAATCAAGCTTAACCTACATACAAGTTTGTGATGCTGTTTTATTTTTCTTCTTTCAAATGTGTTATTTTGCAGAAGAAAATTGTGAATGATGTTTTGGAAAGAAAAAAGATATCTAGCTTGGAGGAAAAGAGAAGAGAAAAGCAAGGCAAGAAAGAATCTGCCAGCACTGCTGATTATACCACCCCAGTAGAGGAAGATAAGTGGTATGTGTTGTATTCTATATATCAACTGTGTATAATTTGATGCGAGTTGACTCATATTTGTGTCATAATTATGCACACACAAATGTTTTATTTCTCAGCAAATATAATATGTATTCTGATTTTTCATCAATAAATACATGCACTCGCTCAATATGTACATACAGGTTTTTGCACCATTATTGGACATTTAGAAGTAACACAAACCTGTCATGAGACATATATTTGCAGAAAACAGGTGTTGAAACATAAGTCTTTGCTCCAGTAATCGGTGATGACGTGTTTTACGCAATGTTTCATCATCATACATAGTGCAAGAAACACGTACATTTTACCTACGGTAGTAATTGTGAATATGGTAAACGCTGCCGCATCATATCACATGGAGAAAATGAGGAACAAATGCCCTCATCTTCAACATATTTGCCCTCATCTTCAGTTTGTTCCCGTTTGTTCCCGTAGTGTGAGTAATAGACACTGTAATCCAACACTGAAATCGTGAATATTGTAACATTCCTTCATTATCAATGAGATTGGCCGTGTACCTGTTCGTTTCCTGGACAATGTTCACTGAGTGGCTCAGCAAAATATGGTGCAAAATAAATTTTGCTCATGTCCTCACCAGTATATGGGAAAAGGTCTGTAACCCCAACATCTGTATCATTAAATATAGGGATTTGTGAAACAAAATCTGTATTATCACGCCACACAAGTACATCTGGTGTTTGGGTGATGCTACATCAACACCACAGTGATGAATCATTGTACCTACAAAACTCCGATGACCAGGAGATGAAGCCCATCTACTATGCACACTACAGGCATGAATTCAAGATGAGGGCATTTGTTCCTCATTTTCTCCATGTGATATCATGTGGGGGCGTTTGCCTGGGCGAACAACATACGCTGCAAAACTCTGCCTGGTAACACCACAGTCCTGTGACTAGTCCTGCCATTAGCCACAGGACTAGTGAAACTATTACCAGATTCCACATAACTAAAGCCGGAAAATGAGTGATCTTCCGCATATTGGTGGCCCAAAGCAACATCATGATGCACATGCCCACATGAACTGTTTGGTGGTGGAGGAGTGGAGAGAGGTATGGCACGAGGGCGAGGCAGCAGTGGTCATGGTGTAGGCCTCATCCTGTAGGCAGGCACAGTGTTGCCACCACTGTATCACTCATCTGTGTCCCGAGAATAAGCATAAGCATTATCAATGTCCAAGTCATCATTGTAACTTTGCTCAGCTTCTGGAAATAATTCATTGTGAATTTCCAGCCATTCATTCACAATGACTGGGTGGAGCAGTTTCCTGAGTGCAGTCGTGAGCCAGGAGAGGATGCGCCCGCCATGGTATCCTGATCTAAACTGTAGCCTTCCCTCCATGGCGGCCTACACTGGATTTTTTCCAAGATGGCGGCTGTTTACTATCGCCTCCCCCGTTTTCTATGGGTGCCCCCTCTAATGCGCAGGACTTTTAAATCTTATGCGGTACTTTAAAAAGTACATATATGATGTGCACTGTGCAGGCAGTTAGACCAACATCGTATACTGTATATACGATTTGCACCGTTTAAGGATTAAGCTAAGTGGTGTTGCCGCATTTTTTTAAGGAACATTAGTTCTGCCAGGGAACATTACCTTATTAGTGTTTCCTTTCTCCCTCACAATTGTTTGTCACCCATATTGCATATGGCCTAATTTTGTATTTCACCCTGACCATGGGCCAGGCTTCCTTCCTGGGTAGTTGACATACATTTCACCTGACTCACCAGAGTTACCTGCTCTAAAGGTTCAGGTTCTCCTACTACAAGCTGATTCTTCTTGAATTGCCTTGCATTTGCTTAGCACAAGGACCTTGTACTCAGAGGTCTGGTGATGAGCATTGTAGGAGTTAGTTGTTTGTTATCTAACATATTACCATCGCACCTAACCGTGCTCCTTGTACATGTTGGAACTTTGCATAGGTGTTTGTATGCATCCATGGCTGCCTACTCTTTTTCTCTTCCTGATACACACAGAAATCTTAATAGCGTGATGTATCAAATGAACAAATCCACAAGGGCCGTCATGAGGGTTCAAACTTATGCCTGGGATGTTCCCAGACGCGCCTTAGTCAACTATACCACCACATGGTAAAAGAATTGCAACCTGGAGTGCTACTGGCCTCACTAGGATCCCGTAGCTTTTCCGAAGCACAACCTGGGCAGTAGCACTCTAGGTTGTAATTCTTTTACCATGTGGTGGTACAGTTGACTAAGGCACGTCTGGGGACATCCCGTGCGTAAGTTCAAACCCTCATCACGGCCCTTGTGGATTTGTTCTCTTCCTGGTGTTTATGATCTTGGTTCTGGGTTGGTACAACTGAGATACCTCCCTCATGTCAAGCATGCCTTCTTGCCTGCTTGATGGTCTGGCCAGGTTATCTTTGTGGCAGCTCGTGAATGATCTGGGTTGCCAGGTTATATTTATGGCAGCTCGTGAATGATCTGGGTTGCCAGGTTATCTTTATGGCAGCTCGTGAATGATCTGGGTTGCCTAGGCTGTCATCTGCTGGTGCACAAGTGTTACCAATTGGTAAGTGCACCTTGGTAATGAGCATTTACATTGTTAAATTGTAGTTAGGGTTACAAATGTTTCCAAGCAGTTGTGTTTTGGTGGTTATTTTCCATTGGTTCTCTTGTGTGATCTCTGATCCCCCAGGCTTCCCTAAGCCTCTTTGTGGTAGCCAGATTCTAGTCGTGGTTCCTGGTATACGTTCATGAGTTTGTCTAATGTGTCTCCCAATTCTTGGAAGTTTCCACGTTGTAGCATTGGGGAGTAACTGAGGATCCACTGGAAAGAGACATTTCATTGCCATTAGTGCTAGACTAAGAATCAAATTAATATAGAGTATATGCTACATATGTGGCTAATCATTTACAATATTAACCAGCATATATACATTTTCTGTTTTCCATGGTAGGGTGGAGTACACCGATGCTTTTGGCAGAACTCGCGAATGTATGAAAAAAGATTTACCGGAAATGTTGGAACAAGACAAGAAACTTGCCAAGGACATCAATAAAGTAAGGTGTAAAACATTTCTGATCTTCAATATTTTTGTTTATTAAATGTGTGACCCTAATTTTGTCTTGAATTGGAAAAGCTGCCGTCACACCCATGACTGAGTGTTTTTCCATGACCGAGTGTTTGCAAAGTGCAGTGTTTAATAATATAAATGGTGTGGAGAGTAAGATTTTATTTGTAATGTGACAAAACCAACATTGAATATCAGGGTGAGCCCCCTTGTGGCTCCCTGAAGCTACAATACTACAGTGAGCCCCCTTGTGGCTCCCTGAAGCTACAATACTACAGTGAGCCCCCTTGTAGCGCCCTGAAGCTACAGTACTACAGTGAGCCCCCTTGTGGCTCCCTGAAGCTACAATACTACAGTGAGCCCCCTTGTGGCTCCCTGAAGCTACAATACTACAGTGAGCCCCCTTGTGGCTCCCTGAAGCTACAATACTACAGTGAGCCCCCTTGTGGCTCCCTGAAGCTACAATACTACAGTGAGCCCCCTTGTGGCTCCCTGAAGCTACAATACTACAGTGAGCCCCCTTGTGGCGCCCTGAAGCTACAATACTACAGTGAGCCCCCTTGTGGCTCCCTGAAGCTACAATACTACAGTGAGCCCCCTTGTGGCTCCCTGAAGCTACAATACTACAGTGAGCCCCCTTGTGGCGCCCTGAAGCTACAATACTACAGTGAGCCCCCTTGTGGCACCCTGAAGCTACAATACTACAGTGAGCCCCCTTGTGGCTCCCTGAAGCTACAATACTACAGTGAGCCCCCTTGTGGCGCCCTGAAGCTACAATACTACAGTGAGCCCCCTTGTGGCACCCTGAAGCTACAATACTACAGTGAGCCCCCTTGTGGCGCCCTGAAGCTACAATACTACAGTGAGCCCCCTTGTGGCGCCCTGAAGCTACAATACTACAGTGAGCCCCCTTGTGGCGCCCTGAAGCTACAATACTACAGTCATCCTCCTGTTGTGGCAACATTTGTAGGAAGGCTGAGGACCACAGTACATATACCCACATACAACACAATTAGACAGTAGATACTGGTACTTTTGTATTTGGACAAACCGGAAAATGATTTTCTAGTTATGTTGCAGCGACAAACTAACCTAACCTAACCTTCCTAGGTCTAATACATGCTATCTGATGCCTAATATAGTACATATGTGTGCTATATTAGGCCTAGGAATATTTAAGTTTGTTTTTTAGCTTAATTTATTTTGGACACTTTAAAGTGACTGGTACAAAATTCTACTATCTAATTGTCAGTGTAATTACTTAAGTGTAGTTACAGGATGAGAGCCTCGCTCGTGGTGTCCCGTCTTCCCAGTACTCTTTCTTATATAACGCTTTCAAACTAATGACGGTTTTGGCCTCCACCACTATTCACCACTTGCTTCTCACTTGGCTTGTTCCAACCATCTACCACTCTGTTTGCAAAAGAAAACTTTCTAAAAAAAATTTAGCACCTTTGTTTTGTTTCCTTAGCTTGAATCTGTATCCTCTTGTTCGGGAAGTTGCTGGTTTCTGTCAGTTTGGTCAATTCTCGTTAGTATTTTATAAGCGGTGATCATATCGCCTTTTTCTTCTATCTTCTAGTTTTTGCATGTTTAGCTCCTCTAGTCTCTCCTCGTAACTCTTGTTTTTCAGTTCCAGAAGTCGTTTTGTAGCATGCCTCTGCACCTTTTCCAGTTTATTTATGTGCTTCTGGAGATTTGGGCACCATACAACTGCTGCATATTCCAATTTTGGTCTCACAAAAGTCATGAACAGTTTCTTTAGTAATTCACCATCCATATAATTATAAGCAAGTCTGAAGTTGGAAAGCGTCACATGCATGTTCTTTAGGCATTATGTTCTTCTCACAATGTTCTTTATATGTTTGTCTGGTGACAGTTTACTATCCAAAACCACCCCCAGGTCTCGTTCTTTATTAGAGTTATGTAATTCCTTTCCACATAATTTGTAAGTTGTGTGTGGTCTATTTTCTCCAATTCCACATTCCATAACATGGCATTTATTCACATTGAATTCCATTTGCCACTTGACGCTCCAAGTACTTACTTTATCTAGATCAATTTGAAGGGTATTACAGTCGTCTGCATCTCATATCTTCCCCAGTATCTCAGCATCATTCGCAAACATGTTCATATAATTTTGTATTCCTTCTGGCAGATGGTCTATGTAGGCAATGAACATTACTGGTACAAGAATTGAGCCCTGTGATACTCCACTAGTAACACTCCTCCAGTTAGATACATTGTCTCTGATTACTGCCTTCATCTGTCTGTCAGTTAGAAACATTTTCATCCTTCTCAGAAATCTCCGTGTCACCCCTCTAGCATGTTCCAGTTTCCAGAACAGTCTCTTGTATGGGACTGTGTTAAAAGCCTTTTTTAGGTCCAGGTAGACACAGTCAACCCAACCACCTCTTTACTGTATTATCTCTGGGGCTCTATCATAAAAACTAAGTAGATTTGTTACACAGGATCTTCCTGTTCGAAAACCATACTGTTTGTCTGTTATTATGGCATTACGTTCTAGGTGTTCAATCCATTTGGCTTTAATTATTTTTCTAGTGTTTTGACTACCACACTTGTTAATGACATGGGTTTATAATCTAGAGGTTCCTCTCAACTACCATTGTTATAGATTGGTACCATGTTTGCCTTTTTCCATGTATCTGCTAAAATTCCTGTGCACAAGGATGTCTGGAATATTAATTGGAGTGGAATGCTCAGCTCAGTTGCACATTCTCTCAGCACTCAAGGTGAAACTCCATCTGGTCCAACTGTTTTATTTCTTCCTAGCCCCTTGAGCAATTTTGTCACTTCATGAACAAATCCACAAGGGCCATGACGAGGATTCGAACCTACTGTACGTCCGAGAGCATCCCAGATGCTGCTTTAATCGACTGAGCTACGACATGGTATAAGAATTGCAACCAGAAATTCTACTGAATTTACTTGGATCTTGCAGCCTCTTCGAACCTACATTAGGTTCGAATCCTCGTCACGACCCTTGTGGATTTGTTCATTTGATGCATCACGCTATTGTGATTTCTGTGTGTAATTTATCACTTCATTTTGAGATGTATTCTATGGCGTGCTCTGGAATTGGTATTTGGTCCGACTCTCTGAAATCCTCATTTTGTACAAACACACTTTGGAACAGTTCATTTAGCGTTTCACACATTTTTTTTTAATTCTCAGTAGTCCTGTTCCCAGTTCTCAATCTCTGGATTTTATCCTTTACATGCAGCTTGTTTTTAATAAATTTATAGAAAATGGTTGGATATATTTTACATTTGTCTGCTATACTTTTCTCAAAGTTCCTTTCTGCCTTTTCTCCTCGCTGCTGTGTACTTGTTTCTTGCTTGCTTGTAGTGCTGGTATGTTTGTGGGTTAGGCCTCTTCTGATATTGAACCCATTTTCTTGTCTTTTCATCTCTGGCCCTCTCTCTGGTCCTGCATTTGTTTTAGTATGAACGTTTGTGTGCCTTTATTGTATATATCTCAAAATTTGACATACATCTCATCTACTTTCTTGCCTAGCAAGATCTGCTATAGCACTATATCATCCTTTGCAGATGACACTAGGATTTATATGAGAGTATACAACATAGAGGACACGGCAAACCTCCAATCAGATGTAAATCAGGTCTTTCTACGGGCTACAGAAAATAATACGGTGTTTTTAACCACTGTGCTGCGCCAACCGAGAAATCTCGTTCTGAGAGTTGTACTATTTTTTTTAATTAGCTATATTTTAATGTTTTTTAATGTTTCATCACTCTTTGTGTTTTGAAATGAAAATGGTTGAGTTTGGAAACATTTTGACATTAACTTTACCTGAATATTTATAAAACGACATAAATATGTCCTTAACAATTGCACTATGAAGTTTTGTCAAAAACAGGTGCGCAGTGCAGGGGTTAATGAAGATAAGTTCCAGCTCTTGCACTATGGAAAAAAAATGAAAATATAAAAACGGAAACCACGTACAAAATGCAGTCAAATCATAACATAGAACGGAAAGGCACTGTAAAGGATTCGGGTCCAGTAGTGAGGAGCAGTCTTGGTGAGATAGCTTCAGGTAGCCACCAGGGCTCTTCCAGAAAGAGCTGGTTTCATTGCATTCGACGCTGAGCTTTTCCATGATCCTGGATGTGACTTGCATCCATGATCCTGGATGTTTGTGGAAAGTTTTGTTCAAATCGTGAGTTGATCGCTGATGTGCAGCCTACTGCTCTGAGGAGGCAAGACACAATGTTGCATGCCTGGTCGGCCTATGGCATTAGTGCCATAAACTGAGTGAAGCTGCTCAAGACTCCACAGGATAGAGCATTTCATTACATTCAAAGCTCTCTGTTTAATTATTATATAAATAAGAAAATTGAATCCATCACTTTCACAAAATATACCAAATATACGTGACTTTCTGAACCATTGTGTATGAGGCAACCTCAATGTTGTTTGCTGGCACTAATGTTTTCAAACAGACATAACTATGTGTGTGTTTTCTTCTGGTGCATAATTATTCAATTAAAAAATTGTGGCAGAAAATGTTCAAACATCTCTATTTATTACTCATATATTAAAACATTATCACTCTCTTTGGATACCCCTCGTGTCCACTTTTTTTCTCTCGTGTCCTAGCTTTGGACACTGCTCACGTCCAATACAAAAAATATTTGTATAAAATTCATTTTCTATCCGATCGACTTCGGTAGATAGTTTCAAATTTCCTTTAGAATGTGCACAGTTTAATATCAACATGAAAGATGTAACACAAAACTTGATGTCAGAACACTTGAAAGATTATAAATACGTTTTTGGTCAAAATTTTAAAATATTTGTTAAAATTTTATTTATTGTGCTATTATTATGGGAATAGTTTTAAAATACGTGCCTTTACATTGCGAACAATTTGATACTAAAATTAAAGATGTAACACAAAATTTTATGTCAGAACACTGGAAAGATATAAATAATTTTGTTATGATGAGCGTCCAAAATTAAAATATTTGTTAAAATTCCAGTTATTGCTTTATTATTATGGGACTACTGTAGTTTTAAAATACGCGCCTTATATTGTGAACAATTTGATACCAAAACAAGCGACGTAACACTAAACTTGATGTTATCACACTGAACGATTATACACATTAGGTTGCGGGTGTGATAATTGGTTCTCGTTCACGGGTAACTTTAGGCTTTGCTAAGAACGTCACGCTGGGCTTTTGGACAATATATGCATATACACCTGTAGGGAATTTAATTGCGAACACATTGATACCAAAACGAACGATGTAGCATGAGAATTAAGGTGAGAAAACTGAAACGAGTATACACATTTTACTGATTTTGTGCGCTCACGGGTAACTTTTCCCAAATTTAGGCTTTGCTGTGGGGAGTCAAGCTTGGCTTTTTGACCTTATATGCATATACAACTGTAGGGAATTCTATTGTGAACACAATGATACCAAAACAAGCGACATAGCACAAGAATTAAGGTGAGAAAACTGAAACGAGAATACTGTACACATTTAGTGTCGCTGAGCGCTCGCCCGCACCGCCAGGCCCACTTCGTGCATACACGTGGAGCGCACGCCTGGGGCGCAATAATGTTAAGGTTACCATGGAATTTGGATAAGGTTTACTATAAATATATCTTTTGTTAATACATTGTCACTTTATTTCGCTTCATAATTTGTAAAAGTGATCATTATAACAGGATGATACATTGGAAGAACCTGATCTTGGGTCGGAGGACGTTCGTCGAGAGATTCAGCGACAGAAATGGGAACAGATGGAGGAACGTAATGCCCTTAAGAAAGATTTACATTATCAAGATGTTCTCTTTGATGGTAAGCATCTCATTTAAAATTATTTTAATCCTTCATATGTTATAAAGATATTGATGAGATAAACATCATGTTATTAGATACAGTTACAGTTCTGTGAGCTAAGTAACCATTTCTTTTCCAATAGAGGCACGAGTGCACGGTGCTGGCTTTATGAAATTCTCTAGTGATGAAAAAAGGAGAAAGGAGCAGATGGACTTGCTGAAAGAGTTCCAGAACGAGACGCAGCAGGGAGAGGCTGCAAAGTTGGCTGCTACATCTAAACAACAAAAGCTGCTAAGTACTCGCCTTGAAAAGGTTCGCCAGAGAAAAAGACTGAAGATGGGGTTACCCATTAAAGGTACACAATTGCTAAAATTATTAAAACTGTTAACGCTTTATTTGTTACATTTATATAGAAGAAAAGTTAAATTTGGTAGGTTTATACGAGTCAAAGATAAAACGCAATGATAATGAAGAGTGAAATGGAGTTAAAAAGTTATTATTTCTTTTTAATTGTTGTGAGCACAAGAGTGAATGAATTGAGGAAATCAAATGAATGGTGTCTTCTACCATTATCCAATCTCCTATTTTGTAGGCAACTCTTGAACTACGCAGCCACAGTGTTGGCACAGCTTACAGCCTTCATATTCAGTATATGAGGGACCACAGAGCACATCACATAATCACATCAAATCTTAACAGATATTTTTTGTTCCTGTGATTTCCATTTTTTCGTCTCTAACCAAATATTTTATGTTGGATCTTTTTTATGATAGCATATACAAAGTCACAATGGATAAGAAAAGCCAAAAATGTATCTAAGCAAGTGTCAAGAAAGTCAAGGGGGCACAAGTGTGAGAGAATGTTGTACTGCTGACAAGGGATCTCAGTCTTTCATAGAAACCATGTCTCCATAAATGAACAAATCATTTATGGAGATAGACAAATAGCACAGTTGATTAAGGCAGCGTCTGGGATCCTCTCAGACGCAGGTTCGAACCCTCATCACGGCCCTTGTGGATTTGTTCATTTGATGCATCACGCTATTGTGATTTCTGTGTGTTATGTCTCCATGATACTATAGTGCTCTGTTTGAAGATTCAGATAGTATGTTTTGAAAGCAATAAAGAAGCTGAGCAGGAACAGCAAGCCGATAGTGAGGAAACGCTCGGCAGATTGGTATACATGATGATGAAGCAGAGCACACCACCTCGGAGAATAATGCCCCATCAACAAGGAGATCTAGTTGATCTTGTGAGAGGCAGAGCAGTGAGAACACTGTGCCTGAAGCACATGAGTGTACTGGAACACCAGTATAGTGCGTAGTCCATCAACACCTCTGGGGTTTGTTCACTTGTCCATTACAAAGGAGTTGCTGAAAAGTACTTGAAAACTAGTTTGTATTCTGGAAAATTCAGTCAACTAGTACAAAAAAAATTTGATGGTATTTATAACAGCCAGGATTTTGATGTTGACACTATTGATGTGTGTGCAATAAAACCTCCCTGAAAGCCAATGTTTTGGTAAGTTGTAATGATGTACCATGTGCCTGCTACAACTCACTGCATGACTGTAAAGATGTGTAAATATGCAGGCGATGAGTCACAATAACATGGCTAAAGTATGTTGACCAGACCACACACTAGAAGGTGAAGGGACGACGACGTTTCGGTCCGTCCAGGACGGACCGAAACGTCATCGTCCCTTCACCTTCTAGTGTGTGGTCTGGTCAACATGTGTAAATATTTTTGTAGGATTTTTAAATGCATACAATAACAGGTCTATAGCTCTTGAAAACAAGACAGTTTAATCACAATTCATTCAGTGATGGATTATCCCGGCTAATAAATGTAAGTAGACTGTTTATGTCCTTAAGAAGTATTATTTTATGGTATGATTGTATGGACTTGTTCAGACTTATAAAACACCAGAAACAGAATCTGGTGTGCTCATTGAGCCAAGACAAACTTGGGGGATTAGAGACTGACCCAAAAATGATAACAACTGGCCAGAAGGTGAAGCAAAACAAACCACAAATCTTCATTAGAAGAAAAATGAAAGAAAAAATAAACAGTAGTGTCTGGGTGATAAACAATTACCACATAAAACTAGTGTTGAATGTAATGAAATGCCTATTTCTGGGCGAGGCCCGGTGGCTCCCTGAAGCTATACACTGAGAATGGTTCGCATCCACCAGGTGGCATCAGCCATAGAGTTCTTGGGCCTACTGGGAACCAGCACCAGAACCTGGCCCTCTCACACAGGTACAGGAAGCAGACATTTCACCACCTTACTGGGTAAGGCAACCAGAAAGTCAGCGAGTCAAACAAACCACTGCTGCCTTCAATAGACTGAAGCCTCACATCCCACCTAGTGAACTCCGCCCACTCTGTAGACAAATGATCAAATTTCTCAAAACTTGCATGAGCTTGTTACACCCAACAATTAGCTTATCTCCTCACTTTGATGGCCTGCTTTCTTTATTTTGTTTATTTCTTTGGTGGGTGTCATACCACATGAACCACTGATCAGTGCCAAAAAACAACGGACAGCCACAGAGCAAAATGCAGCACATAATTGCTCATGATGACAGCCAGAAGACCACTGTCTCTGGTGTGGTGGTCACTAGAGTTTTAACACCTTCCTTGTCATCATGTAGCTATTACATACATCTTGACTCGACTCGACTCACAAGTCAAGTCATGGGGAGTAGAACTCCCAGAACCCCATCAAGAAGATAGCTAAAACCTTTTACCTGTAGGTAATTACCCACAAGACCATCATCCAATATTTGCCATAAGAACGCACTGCCTGACACTAGGAAGTGCATACTTTTGACTAGTACTGTATAGTGAAATTATAATATTAAACTGAATTTTGTGCTTAAATTTTTTATAACTAAGAATGCATTAGTTTCATTTTTTTCCTTTGTCATTATTTACAGAAGATAAGCTGAAGACCCCACCTGTATCTGATGATGAAGCAACTGGTCCACCACCCGTACTGAAAACATCAGAAGACACACCTGATGTTGTACATATAGATCAAACAGAATCAAAGAAGAAGCCCTCAGTAAGAGAATGGGATTTTGGAAAGGAAGGCGTGACTGCAGTTCTGTCACAGGAGGAATGGGTAGATCGCCAACGAACAGAGAGAAATAATGAATTTGCCCCACCCTCTTTCTACGATTCTCATAAGAAACGTCAATCTAGTCAACAGGAGCGGTCTAGAGCACTCCCATCTTTCAATACACACAATGAATATGCCTCAAAGTTTCATTGTCATTCACAATCACAAAGCCAGAATGATTATGGTAGTCAATTGTTAGATTCTGATCAAATGGATACTAGTGTAGATAATAGCAATAGATATCACAAAACAGAGAGAAAGTCTGAATTTGCACCACCTTCCACCTATGAGTACTATGGACCTTCTGGGTATAAAGGTAAAAGACGCGGTGCTGTTCGTCAAGAAGCGGCCGTGGAGAATGCAATTATTAAGGGACTGGCTCACTTGAGGAAAATGAATGATAAGTAACATTGTAGAAATTAATACATTATATCTTTTAACAAAATTTATCTTTAAATAATTTTTTAAGGTGAGTAAATATACACTACATCTTCTTGAGGTTTTCACAAGATAATTTTGGGGCTTATCTTCCCCACGGCCCGGTCCTTGACCAGGCCTCCTTTTTGTTACACATCCCCAGGAAGCAGCCCGAAGAAGCTGTCTAACTACCAGGTACCTATTTACTGCTAGGTGAACAGAAGCATCAGAGTGAAAAACTGCCCATTTGTTTCCGCCTCCACCGGGTATCGAACCCGGAACCTCAGGACTACGAATCCGAAGCGCCATCCACTCAGCAGTCAGGCTCCAATCTCTCACATACATGTGAGAGATTATATGTAAAATTAAGAGGTGTAAGACTAGCACATTAAGGATTAACTGTTGTAATATTTAATATTTCCCAATTTAGCACTGAATACATGTACAGCTTCATGTTTAAGACACTTGAATATTATATGTACCCAAGATATTTATAAAATATAAATTTACTATTAATAGTATTTTGTTTAATCCATTTGCATATTTTAAATGATTAAATTTTTGAAACACTGTACCTAGAAAAACAGTATTCATGAACATTGACAAATCTGCATCGAACCAACTCCACTTAGCAGGTACAGCATCCGAGGAGGAAATGAACCTGAGAAATTAGTGTGAATTAAGTACTTATATTTGGTCTTTTCAAAGCCGGAGGTATTGGAGATGACAAATTAGAACACCATCTGTAACCAGAGAACTACTTGATACTGGACTGACAAACCTTAAACCTGATTCATAAATATTTCATCTGGAGCTGGAGACCAATCATCAAGGAGTAAATCCGAGCATAGTCAGCCATTATCTGACGTTTTACTGTACTCAGTATTTACCACTACAGGATAAATGAAGCTTCGTACTGTAAACACTCTTTAATCACCCTCAATATAAATAATCCAAGAAAGACCCTTGCCCAAATACACAACTTCAATGTAAATTCTTAATTATATGCTGCAATATTTATTTTTTAGTTTACATTACAATACGTTCTGTAAAATGTAGCTAAATCACAAAAACATTCAAATAATTCAGTTCTGCAAGTAATTACAGAAATGTAGTGATTTAAGGACTTTTTTTCCCTTTTAATTTGTTACATCTTCAAACTGCTTCCTGTCATTTGAATCAATACACTTAAATACAACTGTTAAGTAACCAAGCTATTTATAAATACTTCAAATGTTCTTTCAAGATGATTTCCAGTCTTAGGACGAGCACCACTTACTGGTCCAGAGACAATGTTAATTGTTGTGTTGCCAGAAGTGGTTACATCACTATACTGAGGAAGGTGACCAACACACTGGTTCCTCCAACAGTATACTGAGGAAGGTGACCAACACACTGGTTCCTCCAACAGTATACTGAGGAAGGTGACCAACACACTGGCTCCTCCAACAGTATACTGAGGAAGGTGACCAACACACTGGCTCCTCCAACAGTATACTGAGGAAGGTGACCAACACACTGGCTCCTCCAACAATATACTGAGGAAGGTGACCAACACACTGGCTCCTCCAACAGTATACTGAGGAAGGTGACCAACACACTGGCTCCTCCAACAGTATACTGAGGAAGGTGACCAACACACTGGCTCCTCCAACAGTATACTGAGGAAGGTGACCAACACACTGGCTCCTCCAACAGTATACTGAGGAAGGTGACCAACACACTGGCTCCTCCAACAGTATACTGAGGAAGGTGACCAACACACTGGCTCCTCCAACAGTATACTGAGGAAGGTGACCAACACACTGGCTCCTCCAACAGTATACTGAGGAAGGTGACCAACACACTGGTTCCTACAACAGTATACTGAGGAAGGTGACCAACACACTTGTTCCTCCAACAGTATACTGAGGAAGGTGACCAACACACTGGCTCCTCCAACAGTATACTGAGGAAGGTGACCAACACACTGGCTCCTCCAACAGTATACTGAGGAAGGTGACCAACACACTGGCTCCTCCAACAGTATACTGAGGAAGGTGACCAACACACTGGCTCCTCCAACAGTATACTGAGGAAGGTGACCAACACACTGGCTCCTCCAACAGTATACTGAGGATGGTGACCAACCCTTGTTCCTCCAACAGTATACTGAGGAAGGTGACCAACACACTGGTTCCTACAACAGTATACTGAGGAAGGTGACCAACACACTTGTTCCTCCAACAGTATACTGAGGAAGGTGACCAACACACTGGCTCCTCCAACAGTATACTGAGGAAGGTGACCAACACACTGGCTCCTCCAACAGTATACTGAGGACAGTATACTGAGGAAGGTGACCAACACACTTGTTCCTCCAACAGTATACTGAGGAAGGTGACCAACACACTGGCTCCTCCAACAGTATACTGAGGAAGGTGACCAACACACTGGCTCCTCCAACAGTATACTGAGGAAGGTGACCAACACACTGGTTCCTCCAACAGTATACTGAGGAAGGTGACCAACACACTGGCTCCTCCAACAGTATACTGAGGAAGGTGACCAACACACTGGCTCCTCCAACTGTATACTGAGTATTTATACAATGCAAAAGTTTGAATACAAAAAACCTGTCAGCTTAAGACAAAATTTGTCATTACATGATATACTGCTGAAGCCAAAGTACTGTTCCAAATTCACAATAGTGCAATAGAGCCTCCACTAATTCTGTACTCCTAATTAACTTGCTAGAGATCTAACAAATGACTAGGTTGTCAAAACTGTAATACTAACAATTGAAATATCAAGCTAATATAACCAATGTTGAATAACTTATTAATCAGTTCATTCAATTTGTTAATTTTTATTATCCAATTTTATACATCTAATACTGTAAGTACAGAACTATCACAATACAGTACAGTATAACAGATTGTGAACAGGGTTAAATTATAATTATAAATTCATAAAGTCAATATAATTAACCAACACTGTCATTGTGAAACTGTGTAAAAGAAACTTCATCATAAAATACATGTTTTCCAAGCCAATTATACAAGTTAAATATGATTCTTATACTAAGAACTACTAACTTTACAAAACTTTTACCTGAAACAAATATAATATATCTTATGCCGACTGACTCGATACAATAGAGAATGGTCTCGTATGCCATGCTTGCTATCCCTGGATTTATGAACAGATTCAAAACTTCAGAAAATACATATGTACTGATACAAGACACATCCTTACTCTGCCACAGTCAGTATGCATTACCCACATACCTACCTACCTACCTCTCACAATACTTGGCTTCCTCACACATCCTTGGTCCTACTCTACATCATTCTCGGCTAATTACAAAATACACAAACATTCACATTTGCACCACCACAATGGACAATTACTATTGTAATTGTTAATTACAATACTTGCATATTATTGCATGCCAAATAACATACACCAAAACAATGGGAACAGAAAATAAAAAGATTAATTCTGGAAGTTCAGTATTTTTTTATTGCTTTCCTAATGAGAGCGAGTCGCTGCTTGTGGGCTTCTGTTGTGGGTGCTCTCTTGTATGGACGCAGCTCGTCTGTACCAAAGCCTGGTATCCACATGTGCCAATTTCGCTCTGTAAAGAAGAGGTAATATTTAAACTCTTGTCATCAGATAGGAGGACTATCAAGAAATCTGACTGCTGTCTAATTTCAAGAAGAATCCAATCTGCAGTTAAATGTCGGGAGTTACAGATGCTCAGATAAGGATCATTTTATGGCAATGACTATTTACAAACACTTTACATTAACAAGTTGCCAAACTTGTATTTCATGTTGTGATTATACTGCTCAGAAAACCTTAGCAAACTTCATAAACCCAGCAGCTCCAACCATTGCAATCTAAGAATTCAATCTATGGCACTTATAAGTGGAAAAATGTGGCATTATATCAGAGACTCATAAAGATTCAGTACCTTTCTCACTTGGGTAAAAGTGTCCATGTCTTTTTGGGAATAAATTATGCAATGTGTTATAATCTGGAAGAAAATGAGGTTGAAGCAGTTGAAAAGCCTGATTTCAGGAGAGGTCATTATGGGGACTCAGACATTTCTTTAAGGAATTTGACTGGAAAGACTTGCTGTTAGGACAAGAAGTAAATGAGATGTATGTCAAGTTTTGTGAAATATATGATAAAGGCACAAATAAAATTTATACCAAAGCAGAGATGCAGAACTAGGAAACAGGATTGGTTCAACAGAAATTGCAAGAGGGGCCAGAGACCAAAAGACACACAAATAGAATCAATATAGGAAGAGGCCAAACCCCTAAACATACCAGCGATACAAAGATGCAAGAAACAACTACACGGCAGTGAGGAAAGAGGCAGAAAGAAATTTTGAAAAAGTTATTGCGGACAAATATTAAACAGAACCAGGCCTATTCTATAAATTCAAAAACAACAAATTGCAAGTAAAGGAACGACAACGTTTCGGTTTAATTTTCTAGTGTGTGAATTGGACAACATACTTCAGCCACGTTATTGTGACTCATCACTTGCAGGTAAAGGATATTATTCAGAGGTTTAAAATGGGAAACAGATTCACGAAAAATCAAAAGGAAATGTGTGAAACATTAAACGAAAAGTTCCAGTGTGTTTGTACGAAATGAAATCTTCAGGGAACCAGACACAATAAAAATTCCAGAACAACATTGAGCACATAGAGGTGTCTAGAGACGAAGTGGAAAAAAACGCTCAAGGAGCCAAGTAAGAACAAAGCAGTTGGTCCAGATGGAGTTTCACCATGGGTTCTAAGAGAATGTGCACCTGAGCTTAGCATTCCACTTCAACTGATTTTTCAGGCATCTCTGTTTACAGGAGTTGTAGCTGATGTGTGGAAACAGGCTAACATAGTTCCAATCTACAAAAGTGACAGCAAGGAAGACCCCCTCAATTATAGACCTGTATCATTGACAAGTGTAATAGTCAAAATATTGGACAAAATAATTAAAACTAAATGGGTAGAACACCTGGAGAAAAAAATATAATATCAGACAGACAGTATGGTTTTTGATCTGGAAGAACCTGTGTAACAAATTTACTCAGTTTCTATGATCGAGCCAGAGATTTTACGGGAAAGAGATGGTTGGGTTGACTGCATCTATCTGGACCTAAAAAAGGCTTTTGACAGAGTTCCACATAAGAGGTTGTTCTGGAAACTGGAACATATTGGAGGGACGACAGGTAAGCTTCTAACATGGATAAAAAAATCCTAACTGACAGAAAAATGAGGGCCGTACTCAGAGGCAATGTATCGGATTGGAAGGTTGCAAGTGGAGTACCACAGGGTTCAGTTCTCGCACCGGTAATGTTCACTGTATACATAAACAATCTACCAGATGGAATATAGAGTTATGTGAACATGTTTGCTGATGATGCTAAGATAATAGGAAGATAAACTTAGATGATTGTCATGCCCTTCAAGACGACCTTGACAAAATAAGTATATGAAGCACCACTTGGCAAATGAAATTTAATGTAAATAAATGCCATGTTATGGAATGTGGAATTGGAGAACATAGACCCCACACAACCTATACATTATGTGAGAAATCTTGAAAGAATTCTGAAAAAAAAAAAAAAAAAAAAAAAAAAAAAAAAAAAAAAAAGAGATCTAAGGAGGGTTCTAGATAGAAAAATGTCACCTGAGAACCACATTAAGAACATTGTGCGAGGAGCCTATGCTACACTTTCTAACTTCAGAATTGCTTTTAAATACAGTGGAACCTCAAATAACGAATTTAATCTGTTCTGGTGCTGTGATCTTCATGTGAAACGGACGTCATACAAAACGAATGTCCCCATTGACAATAATGGAAATCAAATTAATCCATTCTACCACGGAAAAACATCAATATGATATTTTATGATTTAAATAATGGAGCAGCCAACCTTACATACACTGAACAAACCTTTATGACATTTTTCTTTCTTCAAATTTGTTAAAAAAAAATTTCATTTGTCTTATACCAAAAGGTTTGTTTGGTGTTCAGCAGGTAGGCTGCTCCATGTTTCTTAAATAAAAAAAAACGAAAAATAAAAAAAAAAGTTGAAACAATTTGAAAAATGAACAAATGCCATAATGGTTCATTCAGTGTTTGTCAGGTAGGCTGCTCCATTATGACAATCTTTCTTTGTTTTATGTGTATTCCATTGGTTTTATATTTTTCATTTATGTCTCAATAATGGAGCAGCCTACCCAACAAACACTGAACGAACCATTATGGCATTTGTCCATTTTTCAAATTGTTTCAACTTATTTTATTTTTCGTTTTTTTTTTATTTAAGAAACATGGAGCAGCCTACCTGCCGAACACCGAACGAACCTTTTTGACATTTGTTCTGTTTTTCAAACTTTTTCATTTTTTTTTTATTTAAGAAACATGGAGCAGCCTACCTACTTGAGGTTCTACTGTACATGGATGAAGAAATACTAAAAAAAAAAAAAAATTCACGACTTTTGTTAGACCAAAGCTGGAATATGCAGCGGTTGTGTGGTGCCCATATCTTAAGCACATCAACAAACCTGGAAAAAGTACAAAGACATGCCACTAAGTGGCCTCCAGAACTGAAGGGCAAGAGCTACGAGGAGAGGTTAGAGGCATTAAATATGCAAAAACTAGAAAATAGAAAAGAAACAATAAGATCACTACGTACAAAATAGTAACAGGAATTGATAAAATTGATAGGGAAGAATTCCTGAGACCTGGAACTTCAAGAACAAGAGCTCATAGATTTAAACTAATGAAACAAAGCTGCCAGAGAAATATAAGAAAATTCACTTTTGTAAACAGAGTGGTAGACGGTTGGAACAAGTTAGGTGAGAAGGTGATGGAGGCCAAAACCCGTCAGTAATTTCAAAGCTATATGACAAAGAGTGCTGGGAAGATGGGACACTATGAGCATAGCTCTCATCCTGTAGTTACAGTTAGGTAATTACACACACACACACACACACACACATCTGCCCATACACAGTCTCCCACCATACACCACACCCACAGTTTCTCACCATACATTACACCCACACACCACACCCACAGTTTCTCACCATACATTACACCCACACACCACACCCACAGTTTCTCACCATACATTACACCCACACATCACACCCACAGTTTCTCACCATACATTACACCCACACACCACACCCACAGTTTCTCACCATACATTACACCCACACACCACACCCACAGTTTCTCACCATACATTACACCCACACACCACACCCACAGTTTCTCACCATACATTACACCCACACATCACACCCACAGTTTCTCACCATACATTACACCCACACACCACACCCACAGTTTCTCACCATACATTACACCCACACATCACACCCACAGTTTCTCACCATACATTACACCCACACACCACACCCACAGTTTCTCACCATACATTACACCCACACATCACACCCACAGTTTCTCACCATACATTACACCCACACACCACACCCACAGTTTCTCACCATACATTACACCCACACACCACACCCACAGTTTCTCACCATACATTACACCCACACACCACACCCACAGTTTCTCACCATACATTACACCCACACATCACAAACCATGTTTTTGACTAGGTCTTCCTTTTCTCCACTCATGTAAAGTGATATTAGTTCAATGCCTGTAAAAGCCATATGAATAACACAAACACCACTCCAACTTCAGTCTTAAATAAATTTGCTACTTACCTAAATACATTTGGACATCCTTGACATCAAGAGCACGAGCTCCCCTGTGCTTTGCCAGACGACACGCTGCGTTAACAGTCGACTCAATAAAATCATCAGCAATAGACAAAAGCATTTCTTCCACTTCTTCTTCTAGTTGCTCATTTGGATCAACTTCCCTGACAAGCTCAGTGATTCTCTGTTTGTTAAGAACCTGATGAAGACCAACAAGAATTAGATAACAGCCACAAAGTTCCAGTGGAATGGCACAGTTACAGATACAGAAAACAGTATTCAAATTCAGGATTAAGTCTCTAGTGTTCTTTTTTTTAAGTGAAATGTAATCATGTTGTGGTGTAGTATTACTTACCATCCTTATCAGGTGGTGATAAATGACAACACCTCCTAGATGAAGAATTAAACACAATGTTGTCTTCAGCTGTTGAGATAATTCAATGCTTTTTGATGAGTTGATGGAAAGTGTAATCATACCAAGACAAAATAGTGTTAACTGTGAATGTCATACAAAAGTAGACCAAGGTTAGTGAATCAAAACTGCCGAGGCAGCTTTAAAGCAGTTACCTGTACAATGACTTACAAATTACAAATAAATAACAATGAAAATGTAAATTCCAAATAACATTGCCAAAGTCATCAGAGAATAGTTGGCAGAACAAAGATTGCTACTTACCGGTGCCGTGGTATCAGCCGTGGCATTGGTGGATGCAGACGGGACCGGCACTGCCTGGTTAGGACCCACAGGCTTCACCTGTGTGGCTGTGGCGGCAGCCACCATGTTTGGCTGAGTCACTTGATTATTTATGGCTTGTATCTGCTGGCTTTGCACCACTTGTTGCACACCTGTCACTGTCTGTGCATTCATAACCTGACAACATAGAAGCGTGTATTACAGTATTCAACATAGAAGTATGTATTGTAGTAGTCAACATAGAAGCACATATTACAGTATTCAACATAGAAGTATGTATTGTAGTAGTCAACATAGAAGCACGTATTGTAGTAGTCAACATAGAAGCACGTATTACAGTATTCAACATAGAAGTATGTATTGTAGTAGTCAACATAGAAGTATGTATTGTAGTAGTCAACATAGAAGTATGTATTGTAGTAGTCAACATAGAAGCACATATTACAGTATTCAACATAGAAGTATGTATTGTAGTAGTCAACATAGAAGCACGTATTGTAGTAGTCAACATAGAAGCACATATTACAGTATTCAACATAGAAGTATGTATTGTAGTAGTCAACATAGAAGCACGTATTACAGTATTCAACATAGAAGTATGTATTGTAGTAGTCAACATAGAAGTATGTATTGTAGTAGTCAACATAGAAGCACGTATTACAGTATTCAACATAGAAGTATGTATTGTAATAGTCAACATAGAAGCACGTATTACAGTATTCAACATAGAAGTATGTATTGTAGTAGTCAACATAGAAGCACATATTACAGTATTCAACATAGAAGTATGTATTGTAGTAGTCAACATAGAAGTATGTATTGTAGTAGTCAACATAGAAGCACGTATTACAGTATTCAACATAGAAGCACATATTGCTGTAGCACTGCACCAGTTTGCAACTACAGTACACATCTTACATACAATATACGTAAGGGTGGTTAAGAATGCTATATTTTATACAATACAGCCAAATTTTAGACTTCCAGTGTTTTTTTTGTACACACACTCTTTCCTAAGTTCATTCTAACAATCCACAACTTTATTGGTGAAAAAGTAATTAGTGATATCTTTTCTACATACAGTATTCCCTTATGAATAACTGCCTACAGGCATAACTGGCCGACTCCTCACAGTGTTCAAGAGAGAACTGGATAAGCACCTCCAAAGGATACCTGATCAACCAGGCTGTGACTCATACGTCAGGCTGCGAGCAGCCGCGTCCAACAGCCTGGTTGACCAGTCCAGCAACCAGGAGGCCTGGTCGACGACCGGGCCGCGGGGACGCTAAGCCCCGGAAGCACCTCAAGGTAACCTCAAGGTAAAGGTATGAAATGACATATTTTATATGTATTAATTTTATTTTACAGACTTTTTCATTTTATTAAATGGCTTTGAGTCTGTAAAAGTGAGTAATCCTCGTTTGAGTGTTACACGTATTGGAGGCAAATGTATGTGTGCTGCATGCTTTTGTTTACATGAGAAAGTAGCTGGTGTATACCCATGTTTCAAGGGCAGTGTCCCTCGTTTTCCACCCTCCACACTCAGAGGGAGACTAGCTTCCCTCGAGCGTGGACGTCTCCGCTATATGGAGCTAAGAGACCGGCCGTGTGTACTCTCTCTGTGGTAGAGAAGAGCCACAAGTATTATCTGTGGTGTCATAACTCATAAATGATAACCAGTTCCTTGTTCGGCTGTGATTTACAGTACAGTACTTCTCATATTTGTTACACAACAAATGTATTCCTTGCCTAAGACTGTATTTTAAGTTATACCATTAAATAACAAATAATACTTTCATTGTGTGTTGAGTGGTTTAATGATCTAACTGATTCTTTATTCCAATTTACATTGGTATACTTTATTTCTGGGGTAAGCCCCGTCGGCTCCCTGAAACTAGCTTAATGATTACGTGCCATACTACTTGAGTGTCCAAACTACTACTACTGTGAGAGTGTCTGAACTACTACTACTGTGAGAGTGTCCGCACTACTACTACTACTGTGAGAGTGTCCGAACTACTACTACTGTGAGTGTCCGAATTACTACTACTGTGAGAGTGTCCGAACTACTACTACTCTGCCCGAAACGCTTTGCGTAATAGTGGCTTTAGGCATTGTATGTATTAGCTCTATCTATAAATTCATCAATACCTGTATCACCCCTCGTATGTATGTACTTTACCTAAATAAACATTTGAATTGAATTTTGAATTTGAGTGTCATCAGTCGCGGAGTTCTTGTTTGCCTACTGGGGACCACGAGCCAGAACCTGGCCTTCCCTCAGAGAGGCAACGGGAACAATGAACCACAAACACTTTACATTTAAAGATTTATCATGTTGCCATCAAATCTCCCTGCCAAGGGAGGCAGAACTCTCAACTCTCAAGGAAACAAGCAAACAAGCAAATGTCACACCACCACCGCTGCGCCGCTTGTCCACACAGCTTGTCCGCGCAACCCTTTTCTTCCCGGAAGGGAGAGGGGGGAGCCCCAGTTCGACCTATAAAATCCCCGTGCCCGAATGTCAGCCCAGGACATGTTGCTGAAGATGGCAGCCAAATCAGCAAACTTACAAACGTCATGGGCACGAGGATAGACCACAGGCTGGCTAGAGTTAATAACCCTGCAGATGGATGACCTGGGAGACCTAAGTCCTGGACCAGGGAAAGAGGGAAACCGGATCAACCCAAAGCGCATCCCCGGCCCCTGAGGCCGAGGCGCACAGATAACGGCGAAGAGCTGCAACAGGCTACAGCACATGATGCACCCCCGGCCTAACCAACCAAGCATCAATGACCCTAGGGCCCCTTCAGACAGCCGCCATCTCGTTCTTCCCAAGAAAAGGAGACGGCTGCAACCGAACAAACCAACCACCAGGATCGAAAGAGGAGAAACCCCTGCACTGTAGGAGAGCATGAAGCTCGCCAACCTGACCCCCAGAGGCCAATGCCAACAGAAACAGAACCTTGGAAAATCAATCTTGAACCGAATGGGCCACCACAAGCAGAGGATAAGAGAGAAAAGAGAGCACCCGGTCCAAGGGCCAGAACAGCTCAGGTGGTGCATGAGCAGGCAGGAGGTAAAACAAAGCGCGAGAAAGCTTACGGAACAGTGCTGAAGTGACATCCATCCCGAACACAAGCTAGAGCGGCTCCACCAGCACCGCACAATATGAGGCAACAGTATTCCACATCAAATGACGGTCCTGAAGAAGCCAAGAGAGAAAGGACAAGACAACCCGATCAGTAATAGAAGACAACCTACAAAGAGATTGGAAATGGTGAAAAGAACGCCAGGAAACGCCAGAACGCCAGGAAACTTCATACTGTTGTTGAGTCAAAGCTCACAGGTGGGACACCATCAACGAAGCCACCTGATCACCATACAAATGGCGATAAACCCGCATCAAAAAGACGAGACGCGAAGAGCGGAGGAGTAGAAAAAAAACAGCCGTGTACAGGACCGGTCTAATCTGCTCAAAGGGGCAGAGCCACTGAAAATGCCCCAGGTATGAACACCGAGCAAGCAGCACCTGAAACTAAGGCTGGGCCGGCCACCAAGGGGCCAATAGGACAATTCTCCTGTGATAGGAGTCCAACTGAACTAGAACCCGAAGCAACAGCTGGACTGGGGAAAAGAGGTACAGGTAACCCCACCTCGACCAGTCCTGCTGAAAGGCATCCACCACAAAGGCTCCGTAGTCGGGGAAGGGCCCCACATATATCAAGAGATGCCACGACCATACCGACGCGAAGAGGTCCACATCCAGGAGGCTGTATGGCCAGCAGAGCCAACTGAAGGAGTCAGCGTCAACTGTCCATTCCGTGGACAGGGGAATGAACCGGGATAGGCCATCTGCCAGTAAGTTGGACACTTTTCAGATATGAACTACACGGAGAGCTAAGGACAGAAGAGAACCCCTGCAGTTCAGGCAATGAAGGACAAGGGGCCTGACAGTTGAATGGGTCAGTGCTTTGGATTCGTAGTCCTGAGGTACCGGGCTCAATTCCTGGAAGAGGTGGAAACAAATGGGCGTTTCTTTCACCTTGATTCCCCTGTTACCTAGCAGTAAATAGGTACCTGGGAGTTAGACAGCTGCTACGGGCTGCTTCCTAGGGTTGTGTAACAAAAAAAGGAGGCCTGGTCGAGGACCGGGCCGCGGGGACGTTAAGCCCCAAAATCATTTCAAGATAACCACCGGAGAGCAGTCCAAATGGAGCCCTGAGCAACCCGAACTCTCCGAAGCGACAGCCAAACTGCCGCGAACTCCTGCACGGTGCTGTGAGCCCGACGAGAGGATGGACCCCACCGCCCATGGCCAGCATGGTGAGTACTGGTCACAAAGCTGTAGCTGAGAGACGAGGCATCCGTGAACACATCGAGCAAGGGTTCGGGCAGGCGCCAAAGCACCGAACTCCGAAAAACCCGAAGAGGAAGCTGGCAAAGAACCGTGTAGAAAGGACCACACCCCTGGCGAGCAGACAAGCAGACTGGTTGGGAGCCAACACCAACCAGTCGTCAATGTAGGCTAGAACCCAAAACCCCTAGCAGACGCAGATGGGTCACCACGGCCCGGGTAAGACACGTGAATACGCGAGGTGCCAGATTCAAACCAAAAGGAAGGCAACGAAAGTGGTAAGCCTGCCACCCGACAACGAAACCTAACCAGTCCCTGAACCCCGGATGAATGCGAACATGCCAATACATGTCCCGGGGGTCCAGAGACACCATCCAAGCACCCAGCTCCAACAGAACCCGGACCTGAGACTGAGTGGTCATCCAAAAGGAGGGGCAAGGAATCCAAGGGTTCAGACGAGACAAGTTCAGAATGAACTGCATATCTGCAGTCCTGTTTCGGCACTGGAAACGGGCAGGAACCCACCTGTGGGACGGGGTCATTTCAACCATACCCGAGTGCACCCACTCCAAGATGACCCAACGGAGTGCATTGGCAGAAGCCTGCTCCGTCAGCCCAGAACCCCCCCAAAGGAGGAAGAGCCGCCCAATGCCACCACAGGCCGGAGAAGACGACTCGCAATGCAAAATGACCTGGGACCAAACGTGAGCAAACAGCGCGAGCCTCCCCCACCTCCGGTCTGTCAACAGGGCGACCTCATGAAAGGACCAATGTCCCTAACGAGAAGCTGGCTGATGAGCAGAGTGATCATTGCGCCGACCAGACGACGCTGGCTTCGAAGGAAGCGCCAGCTCAGAAGCTGGCACCAATGGCCAGGAGGAACCCCGAGCCCTGGCACGATCCTTCCGAGAAAGCCAAAAACGACCACTCCAGAGAAGCAACAAGTCTGATATTGAGACGACAACTAGACGAAGCCGCCTGCAGAAACTGCGTGACAGCAGTCTCCGCAAACAGTAATGGACAAAAGGGCGACAAAAACCCAAGAGCCAGGGCCCAAGCGGATTCCAAAGTGAGAGCGAGCACATCTTGCCGGCACGCGAGGCAAGAAGCAAAGAACAGAGAAACCGCTTCCCTGAGAATTGGTGCAAACAGCTGAACAGCGCGGCCGACGCCTGAGCCGCCGAGGCCAGCGCCTCCACATCCTCCCCAAACCAGTCCAAGGACAGCTTGAGAAGGGAAAGAAGTGCAAGACCAAAGTCAAATGCCCACAGGCATGCACATCCCCAGCTACCAAAGATGCCGATGCCGAAAGAGAGGGAACCTGCAAGTACAGCTGCAAAAGGCCAACATCCCGAAGAAGCACAGGGGCAAACAAGCAGGCGTTAAGGTGCTCAAACTTGCCTCTTCCCCCCCAGGTAAACCTGCAGTGCTTGTAGCAGCCTAACCGCCATTCGAGCATGTGGGTCCGACAAAACCCATGAAACCTACCGGGTTCAGCCTACCGGGTACCATGGTCCACCAAGGCTAAACGCCATTGACTAATGTCCTAGACTAATATATATCGCTTATCAGTCCGATAGCTCCAGGGAGCCAAAGGGACTCTTCACAGAAAAACTTCCCCAACAAGAAAACAAACAACCAAAACTGTCAAACCTGTCCCCCTCTAGCTAGCATCACCTTTCCCCTCATTAGGGGATGTGGGGAGTCGGCCCAGGTCAGCTGGGCTGACACCGGTCAGTTCTTGACTGATGTAGTGTGCAGAGTGTCGGTGTTGCTCTGACTCCGAATTCCTGTTTTCTTTAGTGTTTTTGCCTTTGTCGTGGTGTTCCTACACGGTGTGAGTGGGCCAGGAGTTTCATGTACTACTGAGCTGCATGTGCTCTGGTTTCTCTTCCATGTGTGCTCTGTAGGTACTACCCTTCACGATTAGGGTTTCCTTCACTGGGGTGTTCGGGTCAACACTCCCATCAGGAAAGCTTCCTTGCTGGTGGCAGTCCTCGCTCTTATGGTAAGCCAGGGGTTGTGGGCTTTCCATCTTGCCCTGGGTTTGGGAGTATTTTTGGCTGGTGGGGGTGCAACACTGTGGTTAGCGCTGACTGCTCTTCAGCTAGCAATTAGGTGTGCCAATGTTTCTCCCAGGGTGATTGTTTGACATTGTTGAGTCCAGGGGGTTTTGCTTCACTTCTTGTTCCACTAGCATTATATTCACTTGCTTCTTTGCTTCTTTGTTTGGTGTTCTGCCTTTTGCCTTATTACGCGTACCTAGGGTGTGTGCGGTGGAACCCCCCTACAACCGCCCTGGGGTTTTCTTTCGGCTTCTTGTGATCTGGTTGCCTGCATTAACAGGGCTTACCAGCGTAGCTGGCCCCAGTGCCTGGGATTCCTATAAAACTCATTCACCCTGCAGGCTTTGGAAAACCCTGCTAGCCATGAAGACTCAGGACTCTGGAGTCCCTTATGAGAGCTCTGAGCATGTGCAACTCCAAGCACCCTACAAGCCAGGTTAACACAACACTAACTGGACATAAAACATGCAGGTGAAGCTAACTAAAATATGGAATAACACAAAACAAATGGCCCCTGAATGTCAAAGTCCAAAGATGGTCGGCACTTAGCTTAGAAACAGTGGAACCTGCATGGCTGATTGATAACCTGAGAAGCCAGCTAGCATAGAGTGGACATTCGATGATGTCCACATCAGCGACGAAACTGGCTTGAAGGGCTATCTTCTTGAGGTTATCTTGAGATGATTTTGGGGCTTAGCGTCCCCGCGGCCCGGTCCTCGACCAGGCCTCCTTTTTGTTACACACACCCCAGGAAGCAGCCGGTAGCAGCTGTCTAACTCCCAGGTACCTGTTCACTGCTAGGTAACATGGACATCAGGGTGAAAGAAACATTTTGCCCATTTGTGCTCAGCTTCAATTGGGGATTGAATCCGGAACCTCAGGACTACGAATCTGAAGCGCTGTCCACTCGGCTAGGGAAAACGTGGACTTCCACCACCTACCTATTGGTCAGTGCTAGTTTCCAAAGATTCGATCATTTGTTTATATTGTTTGGGGAGTTCATTTGGAAGTTTCGAGACTGCAGTCTCTTTGCCCAGCACTGGTCTCTTTTGATTTGCTGACTTTCTGGATGTTTATCTCAGTGGGATGGCAAAGTGTTACCTGGTCTGGTCTGTGTGAAGGGGCCTGGCTCTGGTCCCCAGAAGGTCAAACAGTCCTCCTCAGCTGATGCAACTTAGTAGTTGGGAGCCATCTCAGCAAGATAGCTTCAGAGAGCCACAAGTTCAGAGAAGTACTTGCCACACAAGTAGTGAGTGTGCACAGGCAATACAGGTGGCTGCAGTGGGGGTCACCACACAAGTAGTGAGCACACAGAGGAACTACAGGGGGCTGCAGTGGGGGTCAGCCACACAAGTAGTGAACACACAGAGGAACTACAGGGGGCTGTAGTGGGGGTCACCACACAAGACAAAACACAAGCACAAAAGGAGGACACTATCAGTAGTATCCCACATACAGTACTGCTAATAGCTAAAAGGCAGGACCTAAGAACTGGAGATAATTCCCAAGAAATACAAGTATGTTCTGTACAAGGTAAAACACTCAAAATCTTCTTTTTCAAGAAATGTGTTTCAGTTTTAGACATAAAATCTATACTGTACTTTAATCCTGACTGGTCCCGTCATTTGCCATCAAGACTTGCATTAGCATCAAGCATCTCATAGGCAAAAACAATCTAATTTAACTTTTTGTTTACAACAGGCCAATATTATATAGATTCACATCATTCAATATAGGCTCTAGATTCTTCTTCAGTGGATGCCAATTACTTTATAGTGACTTTCAAACTTGTATAGGATTATTCTCTTAACCAGACAAACGTATCACTAAAGCACCTTCCTGACGTACAGGATTATTCTCTTAACCAGACAAACGTATCACTAAAGCACCTTCCTGATGTATAGGATTATTCTCTTAACCAGATAAACGTATCTCTAAAGCACCTTCCGGACAGAACCAAATATAAGACACTTTTATCTTGAGATTATCTTGAGATGATTTCGGGACTTAGCGTCCCCGCGGCCCGGTCCTCAACCAGGCTTCCTTTCTGTTACACATCCCCAGGAAGCAGCACGTAGTAGCTGTCTAACTCCCAGGTACCTATTTACTGCTAGGTGAACAGGGATATCAGGGTGAAAGAAACTGCCCATTTTTGTTTCTGCCTCCATCAGGGATCGAACCCGAAACCTCAGGACTACGAATCTGAAGCACTGTCCACTCAGCTGTCAGGTGCCCATCAAACTTAACAAAAATGTTACCAATGACTTAACAAAAATGTAAAATCAGCATTAAACAGGGTCAAACAGAGAAATTTCATACTTACATTCCTTGTGAACAGTCTGGAAGAGGCATAGGTCTGAAATTGAAAAATAAAAATACACAATTTTATGTAGAAGGCTACATATAAGGCCCCCCTACAATAAAAAAAAAACAGCGTTGAATGTAATGAAATGCCATCATCTAGGTGAGAGCCGGAGGTTCCCCGGAGCTATACCGAGCTGATGTGTATATATTAGACTGTGACAACAGTCAGTCGATGGAGTTCTAGGCCTACCAGGGACCAGAGACAGAACCTGGGCCCCTCAGATGAGGCACGAGGAGCAATGGCCTATAGACACCCCCCTGTAATTGGAAGCAGCCTATGTCTGCCATCTACCAGGTCAGGCACCCAGAAAGGTAGGAATTCCAAAACAAACTACAGCTGGTTAAAAATTGCAAACAGAAAGCCGAACTAGCAAACAGAACTCCCCCAATCAACAAGTATGACATCACCACAGCCACTGTGCCCCTATCTGCGCAACTTCCCCCTCCCCGGAAGGGAAAGGGGACGGGGGGTCCCCAGACCTTCTGCACCGGCTACTCAACCCCCAGTTCAGAGAACCCCAAGAGAACCAACAAGTCCAACATAGACCAACAACAAGGCAAAGCCACCTGCAGAAAATGCACCACTGCAGACTTTTCAAACAGCAACGGACAAAAAGGGGATGAAAATCTAAGAGCCAGGGCCCAAGCGGATTCCAAAAAGTGGACGGGCACTGCCTGCTGCCTTGCGAGGCGGGAAGCAAAGAACAGAGACACCGCTTCCTTCAGAATCGGTGCAAACAACCTCAACAATGCAGCCGACGTCCTAGCCGCCGAGACAAGCATACCAGACACAGACCTCGCTCCTCCACATCCTCCTCAAGCCAGTCCGAAGACAACTCCAGAAGGAAAAAGAAGCGCAAGACCGAAGTCAAATGGCCACGAGTGCACAAATCCTCGGCTACCAGAGATGCCAAAAGAGAGGGAACCTGCATGTGAAGCTGCACCTGGCCGACATCATGAGGAAGCACGGGGGCGAACAAGCATGCAATGAGGTCCTCAAACTCGTCCCACTCCCTCCAGGTAAACCTGAACGACTGTGATCAACTGACATAGATATAGTCTATGTCGGGTCTGACATAGAGATGCCATGCCCACAATGAAAAGAAAGGGCAGTCTGCTAGCCAGTAAGACTCCGGCACCTCATAACATAGTCAGTAAGGAAAAGAGGAGCCAAACTCAAAAGAAGAAGGATCCACCATCGAGGCGTAATCCGGGTCTCGCAGGAGGTAAGCCGCAAGGGCCTCCCACACCTCCCTCGGCGGGATGTGGGAGGCCAAAAACCTTCAGAAGGATGGAACCGAGGAATCCAAGGGAACCCAGGAAGGAGTCGAACTCATATCACACTCACACAGGGAGGGGAGAAGAGGAAAACCCCTTCCCTTGTAACAAGCCCTATGCCGAGGGTATCAACACCCGAGTGGGGTCAAACGGGGCCCAAGCCCCCAAAGTCAACTCCTCCCCAGCCCTGGGATCCTCCCCATCAGGACCCAGGACCGAGCCATCTTCCAAAGCCTCTGGAGAAATGGCAAAGTCCACCAGAAAAGCATGGATGAAGAAGACCCACTGGTGTGACCCAAAAGCCCCGGCAGGAGGAACAAGGTCGAATGCCTCCGCCACCGAACCAGAAGGGGCAGTCCCCGAAACTGCCCGAGTCTCCCACCAAGAAAACCCTGCCCTGACTCCGAAACCCTCAGACACTTTGGGGCCAGGAGCAGGATGAACCATAGCAGGGGAAGGACAAGGAAGGGGGAACAGACGAAACCAAAGTAGAGGCGACTAACACCCCCAAGCCCGGGTCTCAATAACCAAAGTGGGGCAGCTGCGAGGCATCCTGAAAGGCAACCAACCGAGCTCGTTGCAGCAACTTAAACCATGTATGCAACGCAGAAGCTGCCTACACCCGAATATCAACATCAGGGTGGGTGATTGGAGTACAAGCAAGGAGTACCACTCGCAGGACTCCGAGTCAAAGGTGTCATTGACCCCACAGGCAGCATGGCGGAGGCAAAGACGAAGAGTGTCAGCCTGAGACAAGGGGACAGAGCAACCTTCAAACTTGCAAGAAATGAGGTGGGATTCAGAAGTCTACTCCATGGGACCAATGAGCCCCAATGGGGGTTCCCAGGGCCCTTAGGCTGACTGCTAAGGGAAGCCCAGGCGAGGTACTGCTAATTAGTTATCCCAGAGCTACCAAGCAAACAAACTGAAAGCTGAAACCCTGTGATGTATGCAAGCATGGGGACCTAGCAAAGGGCCACTAAAATCATACAAGTGGTCCTACAGCCAAACCAGGCAGACCCTCACCAAGCAAAACAAAACAAAACAAAACAAAAAACAAAAAAGAAAGATCCCTGCAAAAGCACAACGTCTCCAGGGGAACAGAATTGGTCGCTATGCGTATATCAGACAGCTGCACAGTACCTTGTGCCCCAGCCAGCGACGATACTACCTCCTACACAAGGCAAAACAGGATTAAAAACCACCCCAGCTGAACCCCAAGGGCGAGCAATCACCGAGCAGTCACAGAACCACGCAGAAGTAGCTTCTCCCGAACAACTCATGGAAGTTAACCCTAAGCCACACGGGCAGTACTTACAGGGCTCCTAGGGAAGGTGGCTTCCCCTAGGTGAATGCAGCCCCAGTACTCTTGTGTTATTCCTGATTTGCACACTACCAACACAGAACACCACCGCCATTTTGCAGCACTGCTCAAAGGATGGATCCAGAGTCGATCGACTGTCTCCAACACAACAGCTTCATGAACTGAGGTTGAGTAGCTGGTGCGGGAGGTCTGGGACCCCCCCCTCCCCCCCTCCCGGAGAGGATTGGAAGTTGCACAGATAGTGGCACGGTGGCTGTGGTGATGTCATGCTTGTTGATTGGGGGAGTTCTGTTTGCTAGTTTGGCTCTCTGTTTGTTAGTTCGGCTTTCTGTTTGCTAGTTCGGCTATCCGTTTGCAATTTTTAACCAGCTGTAGGTAGGAATTTTGGAATTCCTGCCTTTCTGGGTGCCTGACCTGGTAGATGGCAGACATAGACTGCTTCCAATTACAGGGGGATGTTTATAAGCCATTGCTCCTCGTGCCTCATCTGAGGGGCCCAGGTTCTGGCGCTGGTCCCTGGTAGGCCTAGAACTCCATCGATTGACTGTTGTCACAGTCTAATATATGCACATCAGCCCAGTACAGCTCCGGGGAGCCGAATGGGCTCTCCACAGAAAAAAGTGGCATTTATATTAATATTAGATATAATAATAGAGTAAACACCTCTTTAATCAATGTAACAAGTTTCTGGGTTCACCATAAATTACATTTGTCAAGAATTTATGCAGAAAACAGATCGAACCTTGAGATTTCCATCCCTCACTCGCAGTATTTTTTTTTAATTAAGAGCAGCCTGTGCTCACTCCAAATCTAGAAGGCACTATGTAGAAGCATACATTGCACCCTCAAGTCCAGAGGATCAGGCACTGTAATAGGACCTTACTGCACCACAGCCAGGTCCCCTCAACAGCTAAATCATTACAAGCACTAACTCATCATTAACATAATATACCAGGGCTGAATAACCCCACTACTTTGTGTCTGATGATCTGTCAGACAGTCACAGACGCAGCTCATAATCCTAAATATCAAATCTGAACATAATCCTGAGTTTTATTTTTTATCAATATAATGAACCTTTATCTTATTGTTTCATTTAGCCTTATGTCTTTCCTGTGCACCAATTTATCACAGAAGCATAACATAGCCTTCTTCATAGAAGAAGCATAGTAGTCTCCGTGGTGTAGTGGTAAGACACTCGCCTGGTGTTCCGCGAGCGCTATGTCATGGGTTCGTATCCTGGCCGGGGAGGATTTACTGGGCGCAATTCCTTAACTGTAGCCTCTGTTTAACGCAACAGTAAAATGTGTACTTGGATGAAAAAACGATTCTTCGCGGCAGGGGATCGTATTCCAGGGACCATAGGATTAAGGACTTGCCCGAAACGCTACGCGTACTAGTGGCTGTACAAGAATGTAACAACTCTTGTATATATCTCAAAAAAAAAAAAAAAAAAAAAAAAAAAAAAAAAAAAAAACATATATCAGATAGCCACTTAATCCAGGAATCAAGCATCATTTCTTAATGATTACCTGTTAAGAAAAAGTTGTTATAGTACAAAAATACTTTGGGATATTAACAGCAAGGCCAGCCTGGGGCCAGGCTTGCCTTATGAGAGTTTGGTTCAACAGGCTGTTGCTTGGAGTGTCCCGCAGGCCCACATATCCACCATAGTCCATTTGGTGTGGCACTTCTTGAAGAAAAACTATCCAACTTCTTGATAGAAAACTATCTTCGAGTTTTCTCTTGAAGATGCCCATTTTTGTTCCGGAAATATTTCTTATAATCACTGGGAGGATGCTGAACAACCATGGACCTCTGATGTTCATGCAGTGTTCTATGAGTGTGCCTATGGTACCTCTGTTCTTCAAAGGCTCTATTCTGCATTTCTTTCCATATCGCTCACTCCAGTACGTTGTTATTTTACTGTGTAAATTTGGACCTGGTCCTCCAGTATTTCCCATATATATATTATTTGATACCTCTCTAATCTCCTTTCCAGAGAGTACATTTTGAAAGCTCTGAGACAGTGCCAATAGTTTAGGTGCTGCATTGTGTCTATGAATACCGTATATGATCTCGGTATTCTCTCTACTTCAACAATCTCTCCTGCTCTGAAGGGGAAAGTGAGTACTGAGCAGTACTCAAGACGGGACAACAGAAGTGATTTGAAGAGTACAACCATTGTGATGGGATCCCTGGATTTGAAGGTTCTTGTAATCCATCCGATCATTTTTCTGGCTGATGGTATATTTGCTTGGTTATGTTCCTTAAATGTTAGGTTGCCAGACATCATTATTCCCAAATCCTTTACATGCCATTATTCGTGGACATAATGAGTTTGTTCTGACCAGTACTGATTGTTGTAGGGCAGTTGTCTGTCGTAGTTGTAGTTCCCTTTTGGTGGGTAATTGTATCTGTAATTCTGAAATGCAAGTGGATCTGGCATCCAGTTCCATACACTCTCCATGCTGCTCCTTTTGAATTCTCTGTCGGTCTGGTATAAAAAATTTATAGAGTTTCCTCCAAATTCATTATCCTGCTTGCCACTCTTTATGTAGCGTTCCGTGCCTTTCACGTGAAAGTGTGGGCAGCTGAGGTCATAGCATTTTCTGTCCTCCAGTGAGGTTTGGCACATGTCAGGATGGAAAAACCTACATATTGATCCAAATCGACACTCACCTTTCCTAAGCATATTTAAACATTTTTTGGGTTGTTAGTAACTGCATTCTAATCCTTTCTTATTACCAGCACATCTATGTCTGCATATGCCCTTTGCATAAAATTTGCATAAGTCTGTCCTTCTGTTTTGAATTGCTCTATCGGGAACCATCGTAGTGTCTGTACCTATCGAGCTGTCAGTGCTGTGTGGTACACTTTCTAGTTTACTGTCATCTACATCCTGGCCTACTGAGTCCGAGTTTACAACTTCCTGAGTTTCAGCCTCAGTTTTATCCCTGACTATAGCCTCCACCCCTTGTATATTAGAATTGTTGTTCCTTTCCCACTCCTTCTGGATGGCTGGTAGGCTTCCAATGAATGATGTTTTCCAATCATGTGTCATGTTATCTAGAAGGTTTTTTAGGATATTCCAAGCTGGCAGGTCATTTTTACACACCCAGAGCAAGTGACCAGCTCTCAGTGCCGTAGTGTTACTCACTCCTGTACAAGCCGAATGGAATCTAGTCTTACAGATATAACATTCAATTCCCGTTACCTTCGTCTTTAAGGAGTTGTTACAGTGGCCACAAATTTGTTTATTTACTCCCATATTGCCTTGTTTTGTTGTATATATCTATATATTTATAATATTATATGTATATTGTATATTTGTAACAATATATATGTACAGTATATATATTTATATGTTTAATATTTATAATATTATATGTATACCGCATATTTGTAATATTATGTATGTTATTTTGTTCAAACTTTATGGCAGGTACTTAGCGTAGGTAGCGAGGCTGGTCCCCGGTCGGTACAGGTGACCTCTTGTGGCCCAGGTTGATGTCACCAGTTTCCAGTTACCCGATTTATAACCACTGATGCCGCCTCTTGCCACTATTCTATATTTCTAGTATTCTATATTTATAATATTCACTTCCAACTTATATGTTGTTGTGATACCCGTTCCACATCACTGTTCCACGAATCACCGTTCACTATTTTTTTTTTTTTCCTAATACACGCATGTACACAAAGCCTCGTTCACTGGCTCACACGCGGTCTCCCGTTTATTCTCTATTTAACACAAAGTTCTATTGTTAATGACTATTTTCAATTTTCCAGCGGGTCACTATGCACTTTGTTATGTCTGTAATCAGTAATCCACGGCAGTAGTCCTAAGAATCCCTGGTAATGTCACGATTTTAATGGAGCGCGCACGGTACGTCTACCCCCTCCCTCGACCTCGACCTGACTGGGTCTAATTTACCTCTACTTTTTAAAGACAATTTAAAAGTCTGCTATTATCTTGCTCCAGTGATAACAATTTATACATGCAGAAAGAGATTAAATTTTCAAATATTTTTGAAGCCTAATAAACATATAATGCCTACATTCTAGGAAGGAGAATGGTTGCCTTTTAATGGCCCCTGGAGCTTATACAGTTAGTAGAGCTGAGGCATGAATGAATGTAAAAAAGATTTAAGCTTTGGAATTTAACTAGCCAATCTAAATATTAGTACACACTACCACCCTATCTGGGCAAGGACATATGCATGCGAAAAGCCATCGTCTGGTTTCAACTTTGGTCATTTATTACTACAATAGCTACCCTTCTTTCCCGGTGTTAATGCATCAATTGTGTTGGCATTCATAATTAATGTGTGTGTGAGGTATACATACAACGTGGCAGCTATCACACAATGCAGTACTTGACATTTACCTGTCCCTGAGTAAGGCCAGATGCAAGAGTTGTGGCAACACCAATTGGGGTCGTTGTTTGATGCACTACCTGGCCTTGCATAGTCTGGCCCGGCACCAACTGTGTTACCAACTGCTGACCACTAATGCCTGTCAGACCAGATGCAGTTGACATCACCACTTGACCTGTGTATATAACACTCCACATTAACACACACATTAATCACAATAGCATGATATATCAAATGAATAAATCCAACATCGCCGTGATGAGGGTTCAAACTTACGTCCAGGATGATCCCAGATGCGCCTTAATCGACTGCGCCAGGACATGGTATAAGAATTGCAACCTGGACGTGAGTTCAAACCCTCATCACGGCCCTTGTGGATTTATTCACTCCACATTAAATTAGGAAAAAACAAAATTCAAGATGATTTAGTTTTCCTCATTCTTTCTGGAATAAGGAAAATAATAAATTAACAGAAAACAAGACAACAATTATTAAATCTTTTAAGGCAACAGTTGCAATAATAATCTGTCTCACCAATTAAAATTGATAAAAATGAGATGTGACAATATGTACAGATGAGAGCCTGATGAAAGATACTATGACCAGATCAGTATCCAAAAGCTTGCTTGCTAAACACCATTTTCTGGGTGAGCCCCAGAGGCTCCCTGGAGCTATTGGACTGATATATGCTACATTAGTCTAGGGCATCAGTCAATGGAGTTCTACATACCGGGGACCCCGAGCCAGAACCTGGCCCCCTTAGCATTGGCGCAGGGAGCCAATGGCCTATGGAAATCCCCATGTCTTTGGGAGCATTCCATGTCTGCCATCAGCCAGGGTTAGGCACTCGAAAAGGTAGGCATAACAGACTCCATCTGATAAGAAATTGCAACCAAAGACTGAACAGAGAGAGAACTCCCCCAAAACATAAAGAAACAAGCAAACGTCACTCACTGCTGCCGCTCTGCTTGTCTGCGCAGTCCTCCCCCTCACCGGGAGGGGGGAGGGGGAGGGCTGAGCAGGGGGAGATGTAACTAGTGGTGTTAACTAGCAGCTTAGCTAGTTACAATACTTTTCACAGCTTCTTATGTTTGATTTACTGATTATTTTGTATACTCTTCCTAGTAGTTACTTGTTTTGAAGAGTAACTACTGGCCATTTTTGGTTTTACCTTGGCTTGCATGGATCTTGACTCTAGGTTCACTGCACCTCTATTGGGTGAATCAGGTTTTGTTCCTGGTCTCCAGTAAGCTCTAATGACTCACAAAAGTCCAGCGAGGCATAACAAGTTCTGAAACTATCCAGGTGGCTAGATAACAAAAACCACTGAGGGGCCAGGTCAGAAATACCATTAAATATTTCTGTATAATATTGTACTGTACCTATAGGTCAGCAGAGTTTAAATTTTAAATCCATTTGGATTACTCTATATAAGCATGGAGACCACAGCTTCAGGAGGACATGGCTGCTCTGGAGAAGGTGCAACACCGGGGAACAAAAATCATTCCAGAGCTAAGTCAACTCTCATACGAGGAACGGTTGAGGGCCACAGGGCTAACACCACCACAAACCAGGTAAGACAGGGCAGATCTCATTGAAACTTTTAAAATACAGAACTGAACAATTTGGATGATGTTGATCTTGAAAATTTCTTCAAAAGGTCAGATGTAACACAAACAAGGAGTAACTGTTTCAAGCTCAACAAGCCACAATGTAGGACTGAGAACAGATGCTTTGGTAATAAGCCCATGGAACTGCCTACCTGCCGAAGCCATAAATGCAAAACTCTGTTAACATTTAAAGTATAACTGGAAAAGATCATAAAGGCAAATGGGGGGGGGGGGACCTTCAACAAGCCGCCGGCTTCCTGTCCTATTGAGGTCACTAGTGTTAGTGGCTGTCATTTAAACTCAGGTAATTAAATTCAAGATAATTATCTGTTCCAAAATCAGTGGGAGTTTTTACCTGATTTACAGTAATTATTTATAGAAGTTGGGACACCAGGAACATACTTTTCTTCCTGCAATTACAAACAGGAAAAACACCCACCACAGTATTATGTCCTACCCATAATGTACAAATTATATGTGGAAGTAAATTTTGATCAAACATGTGAGAGGAACCCTTACCTGCACTGTTGACAACTTGTGTGCCGGAGACAACCTGGCCCTGCACCTGAACCATCTGGCCTTGCATCACCTGCCCACCCACCACCTGCTGAACCTGCTGAGACATTATCTTCCTCGACGACTCCTTCGATCCTCAAATTCACAGCTGGAAAACAAGTTAACTAATGTACTCAAAGAAAAAGATTTAAAGAAGAATAATATAGTATGTATTGATGAACGTGTCATCTATCTATAAGAGAGAATGTCTGTCTGTCTGACCCCACTCGCCCGCCCGTGCCTGTCCGCCCCTCACCGTCTGCCCACCTGCTCAAGGTTGGAGGCCTGACACTTGGGGCTAACTTTTTGTGGGTCTAGCCTTACCCAACTTTGCAGGCAGGGGTAATGGACTGGGGTACAGAGTGAACACAGGTTAGTCGGGATCGGTCCTACTGATTCTATTAATAGCGGGTGAGGCAAAATAGTGATCCACCTTACCCACAAAAATCAGTGATTAGTGGCTGGATGAGTCTCTAGATATTTCTAGCTCTACAAATCAAGGGACCCAGAATGTGGAATGACCTTTCCAATCATGTTATTAGTACCTCTCTGTACCTCTCTCAACCAGTTTAAGATAAAAACAAAGCACTACCTAATAAATTCCCTGTAACCTACCTTACCCCTCTATTGTCAACCCATGTCTGTTTTTTTAAACAATGCTGTTTGTCGACCTAATTGTATTTGTGCTGCTTTTTCTGCCATGTTCCCCCCTTTTTTATTTGTTCTCAACACATTTTACACTTTAAACTCAATTAGTATTAAGTATTAGTCTTTAATGTTTTTCTTGCCCGAAACGCTTTGCGTAATAGTGGCTTTAGGCATTGTATGTACTAGCTCTGTCTATAAATCTATCAATTTTTGTAAAATCTCTTGTATGTCTGTACCTTAACTGAATAAACATTTATTTATTTATTTATTTATATTATTTATTATTATTTGCAAATTTGCAAACTCTAATAAAATCGAGATGGAAATAAACATGGAAAAAGACTCACAATCACTTCAAGACGATCTAAATATGGTTTTGAAATGATCAAAAGATTGGTAGATGCAGTTTAATGCTGACAAATATATGATTATAAGGCTAGGTAATGATGATAATTACAGGATATCAGCTAGATGGTGTTGAGATTGTGAAGTCTGATTGTGAAATGGATCTGGGAGTTATGATTAGTAAGAATTTAAAGAAAAAAAAAATATTACATAAATGTTCAAAATAAGGCACTGGGATTTGTTTCTAGAAGCATTAGTAGTCAAACACCTGGTGTTATTCTTAAGTTTGATCTTGTTAGGCTCCATTTAGATTCCGCAGTTGAGTTTTGGTCACCATATTATAGAATGGACATACTGTAAATTCAGAAGAGCGCATCCAGTGTAGGATGACAAAGATAATCCCACAAATTAGAAACCTTCTATGTGAAGAGAGATTGAAAAAGCTTAATTTACATTCTCTAAAAAAGGCAAAGAATTAGGGGGTGACATGATTGACGTGTAAAAGTGGATGAATGGGCATAACAAAGGATATATTAAAAAGGTATTAAATATATTAACACAACACAAAATAATGGATATAAATTGGATTAGTTTAGATTTAGGAAAGGCCTAGGTAAATACTGATTCGGTAACAGGGTTGTTTTGTGGCACCAATTACCGCCTAACATAATAGAAGTAGGATCCCTTAATTGTTTCAAGCATAGGTTAGACATATATTTGAATGAGTTTGGGTGGATATAAATAGAAGCTTCGTCATTTAGGCCAATAAGCCTTCTGAAGTTACCTTGATTATTATGTTCTAGAAATAAATCCCATTAATCTATTTGCCTTATTTCAAACATTTATGCATTGATTTTTGGGCTTTATTACTAATCATGACCCGCAGATCCCTTTCGCAATCAAACTTTGCAATCTCAACACCATCTAGCTCGTATACTATAACTGTCATTGTTATCTAGCCTCATAACCTTTCTTTTGTCAGCATTAAACATCATCTGCCAGTCTTTTGGCCATTTCAAAACCCTATCTAAATCGTCTTGAAGTGATTTTGAGTCTTCTTTCATGTTTATTTTTCTCTCGATTTTTGTATCAGCAAATTTGCAAATATTGCTGCTCAGTCCTGATTCTAAATTATTTATATATACAGTGGTACCTCTGTTTTCGAATTTAATCCATTCCAGAGACGGTTCGAAAACCGAAAATTCTAAAACCGAAACAACTTTTCTCATAAGAAATAATGTAAATTGAATTAATCCGTTCCACACCCCTAAAAATATTAACTTAAAAATACTTTTATAGATACTACTACTTACATTTTGTACTACAGTAAGTACAAGTATATCATACCTTTATTGATGACTCTTGTTGGCATTTGGAAGACAGTGAGGAAAGGGGGAGGAAGAGAGGTGTTAGTGTTTGGAAGGGGAGTCCCCTTCCATTATAATAGCAGTGATGACATTTCTGGGGTACTCTCTCTCTCTCTCACCTTTTGCCTGCCTACCACTAGCACCTGGTTGTGGCTCACTGCTTGCTTGTCTTGCTAAGAATCTGTCTATAGACACTTGTTTTAACTCTTGTTTGTAGAGACATCACATTGTTTCACTATGAATGTTCTCTTTTTTTCCTCTATCGTCCTCCTCACAACTATTTTCCTATATTGAACTTTACCACTGACTTTCTTGGGACCCATGGCATAATATATAATAAGAACTTTTATGTTCAGAAACCATAAAAAGCACAAAAACAATTAAATTCTTCACAAAGAATTCAAATGCGGTCGTCACTAGGCGGGAGACAATGGTAAACTGAAGTGCGCCATGTGCACGCTCGGCCCACATGTGGATTAACAAATTCGAGTACCGAGTCATATTTTTCGAAGAAATCGAGCGTGAGAACTGAAAAATTAGAAAACGGGCATTCGAAAACCGAGGTTTCTCGGTTTGATAACAAATTATTGGGAAGCAAATTATTAACAAAGCGTGCAAAAACATAAAATAAATAGAAAGCAAAATAACAAAGGTGTGAGGGGGTAAAACACTTACTACTAAAGGAGAAATAGGCTAACAAAGTAAAAACAGTAATGGAAAATAATAAAAGAATGCATAAAAGGTGAGAAGGATGACAGGCAGACTATAACAATATGGAGTCAGTAATTGTAGCAATACGACAGCAGTTTATTTACATTAATAACAATGGAAATACAAGGTGTAGTTTAGAAACGCAACTGGACTCTTTCTCATAACATTCAGTATGGAACATAAGAAAACAGAGAAATAAAGTAATTTAAGGTCAATGGACCCACCACTAAAAATGAACCAACACTAGGTTATGCCAGAAGTAATATTTAGGTGATGCTTCCCTTCACCTAATGCCTCTGTTCACCTAGTAACAAACAGGTAATAAGGCAGGTGTTGTGGGAAGCATTGAGGCTGGTCAGTCGCTCGTGTAGAGGGACCTCAATAAGCCTTATATAGGTGTCCTGGCTCAAGAGTTTTTGTGCATTACTAGTGGCTTTAAACGTATAATATATACTAGCTAGCCAGAAATCTAACATTATGTTTGTAAATCATTTTGAATGTACGTTTACCTAAATAAACTATTATTTTATTATTATTAAAGTGTCTTCCATATTCCCTGTGAAGTTTAGAAAATATGCGTCTTTTTCAATATCCTCAAGTATAAATACCAGGAATTAAAACGAAAAATGCATATACTCAAAAACTAGAATGAGGTAATATATTGCTCATAAAATACATGTGAAGTATGATCCAATACATTAGCAATATATGAGCCAAGGCGACCCGTCCGCCGCCCGCCAGCTGCTGCAGTTTGTAAACAATACTGCGAGAGTCCTGGAGGCGGGGGGCACACCTTCACAAACACACTCACCTTCTGGCCTTATTAACTACACATTGAACAAGTATACTTTTACATTACGTTTCATGGTTTAGTTTATATATATTTCATGACGGAACTTTATTTATTCATCCAATTGCTATCGATAAATAATTAAAGATATACAGTCTCCTAGGGTTCAGATTTTATTTTAGGTTTAACACTTCATTATATATATGTTAATATTCTTAATCACTTTAAAATATTATTGAGTGTATTTTATTAATGCATTTAAATTATATGAATCGAGACATGATAGATTCTTTTATATGTAAAGATTATAGGTCTGTATTGGCGGTACTTTTCAAACTGCAGAAAAAACTCCATTTTTCACTCTGGCCAAATTTCCTTATAAAAATGACTACACTTAAAACTTCAAATATGTCCAATCACATTCAATTACGCTCAAAAATTGCACTTAACCATAATATTTTATGCTTGAGTGCATAAAGGGGACATTTAGGGTCCCAGTAGTACAGTCGGGTTCCTTCTAGACGCACAATTCAAAATTCCAGGTTCGAATTCCGGGCGGGACAGAAATGGTTGGGCACATTTCCTTTTACCTAATGTCTTTGTTCACCTAGCAGTGAGTAAGTACTCAGGACTTGGTCAGCCTGTTGTTCAAGTTCAAGTATGTTTATTGAGATAAGCAATAAATACATCTCAAAGGGATAGAGTAGCTTAGGCTATTTCTACCCCCCTCTACTTCAAGTCCCTCAAGGGGCGCAATAATGCAGTGAGTACAAATAGACAAATAACATTACAAGAATCCCATTTAACATTGCAGGTTAATATAGTAAGTACAGCATATAATTGTTACACTCTTGGGGCAAAATTCTTGTAGCTCCTAATTAAGTATACTGTCTATCATACCATTATCACACATCCAAACAATTTGATGTGGTACACTATTTATTTCCTTATTTCTATAGTTTTCAATAAGTTGACACTCTAATACATAATGTTCTAAGGTGTGGGCGTGCGGCATACTACATAATTTACACTCCTTTTTCTGGCCCCAGACCCCCTTATTCTGGCCCCAGACCCCCTTATTCTGGCCCCAGACCCCCTTATTCTGGCCCCAGACCCCCTTATTCTGGCCCCAGACCCCCTTATTCTGGCCCCAGACATCACTCGGTACCCCTACTCAAATCCCTGAATATGTTAGACATTAAGTCACTGCACATTCTCTCATGTGTATTATACATATATAAAACGCTAAACTGTAATGCCAATCCTGATCTCAAAAGCTTCATAGAAGGTTGTAACAGAACCCATGAGCACCACACCAGAAATAAATACAGTTTTGATATTCCTAGAGTACGACTTAATCAAACTAGAAATGCTCTACAAATCAAGGGGCCCAGAATGTGGAATGACCTTCCCAACCATGTTAAAGACTGTACCTCTCTCAACCAGTTTAAGTTAAAAACGAAGCTATACCTAATAAATTCCCTGTAACCTACCTTACCCTTCTATTGTCAACCCATGTATGTTTTTTTTTTTTTCAAATCAACGCTGTTTTAATGTAATTTTCTGTAATAATTTGTAATTGTATTTGTGCTGTTTTTTCAACAATGTTCCCCCCTCTTTTACCTCTATTTTTATTTGTACTCAACGCATTTTTTTCTTTTTACCCATTAGTTTTAAGCTTTAGTCAGTAGTGTTTTATCCTGCCCGAAACGCTTTGCGTAATAGTGGCTTTAGGCATTGTATGTACTAGCTCTTATCTATAAAGCCAACAAACTTTGTAAAATCTCTTTATGTATGTACCTTTGCCTAAATAAAAATTATTATTATTATTATTATTACTTATCTTTTTTCACTGACATCAACACCGTATTGCCAGATATATTTGTATCCTAATCTTAATCTCATGTAAATTGAATCCTTCCAGTAGACTTTCCTTTACCATAAGTGAAGGACGAATTTGTATTTATTACTGAATAATTCTTAAGTGTATTACTACTGTCCGCCATTGCCATTCTCTTTATCATTTCTTCACCCTCTTGGATCATCTTGATTCTTGTTTTTATTTGTTTCAAGGTTAACTGACATACAACATCAACAAGAGTTTTTTCAGTGGCTCTCTTCGCTATGTCATCAACTACCTCATTCAACAGTATTCCCACATGTGAAGGGATCCACATGAATCTTACTTTATACTCAGTTTTTTCTAGTCTCTTAACATTCTCTCTACACTCTATCACAATATTCTGATATACTGGGCGTCTGCTATTTAAAGACTCTAACGCTCCTCTGCTGTCAATAAAGAAGCAAGCATTTTTACCACATTTGACTACTTCCTGTAATCCTGCTAATACACCTTGGAGTTCAGCCTGCGTTGAAGAGACATTGTTAGTTAAGGGGCGTCCAATAACAGTATCTACAGTGCCGATGTCAGTGTACTCCCTGATCAAGACTCTACATCCTGCCTTCCCATCCCTAGCTACTGACCCATCACAATATACATGTAGAGTGTTTTCTGTAGGCAGTTTTCTAATTATACAATCATATGTTGCCCTCAGCTCTCCTATTTCATACATACTTTTTTTCTTATGCAAGGGAATAATTACTATATCTACATTACAATCCTCCCATGGTGGTGTGAATTTTCTCTTGGGCACAGCAATACACTCTGTAATAACATCATAATTAATAACATTAGAACATAAGTTATTCATATATACTCTCTTCTTCATCATACACTGTTCACTACTTCCCACCTTTTGAACCGAGAGGATTAATTCATTAACTCCCCCACCTCTCATTAATCTAATGGCAGAGGCTACATTTATCTCTGAAATTCTATCCCCAATACTCTGCAGATTCAACTCCATCCTCATTATCTCAATCATAGCATTTCTTGGACATCCTAAGATAATTCTCATGGCTTCATTTTGTACCTTCTCCAACTTGCCCATCCTACCTTTACCAAAACAAGAAATGACAGGTGCAGCATAATCAATAAGAGATCTTACAGTACTGAAGTATATCATTCGTAGCACAGGGACTCCCACTCCCTTTCCACAGCATGCCAAGGCCTTCAGAGGTTGTAATCTGGACCATTCTCAAGTCGAATACACAATCGACTTGAGAATGGTCCAGGACGGACCGAAACGTCGTCGTCCCTTCACCTTCTAGTGTGTGGTCTGGTCAACATATTTCAGCCACGTTACTGTGACTCCTCGTCTGCATTAATGTCAGTGATAGAAGGGAATGAAGTCACACAGAAAATGGTGGTTTATTTGCAGCGTTAACTATACAAATTCACACCTTATGGTCTTAATATTCACAGGTAACTTTGCCTTCATATTTAAACAACTCTCTTGAGATATACCAATGGTTTTATTAACGTAAAGCATATCATAGTTTTTGCATATTACAAATGGCACTAGAGTACCTTGGTAAAAAGTGTTGTTGATACTATAATGAGTTTGTTTGGTGCATAGACAGTTGACTGACTCCTGCTGTGATGGGACCACCAGGAGGGCAAGACCACCACACGAAGGTCACGTCTTCAACTCTCACATGGAAAAACTGTCAAACCAGCAGTCAAGGCCATAATAATGGTAGTGTCAAGTGGTCATGGTGACACTATGACCACTTGACACTACTTTGTTGTGGTTGTCAAGTGTCATTAAGGCGGTCAAGGCCTGAGGAGTGGGAGCGGCAGTGGTGTGTTCAGAGGCGACAACTTGGCGCCAGGGGCGAGGACGCTGAGGGCCTGGGAGACCAACGGAGCCTTGTGGGCATTAACGATACACGCGGCCTCCAGGCACGACATGAAGCCCTCAGTGTGGAAGTCCACGGGCTCTGGACACGTCCCCACGGCGGCGGCCACGGCGTCCCCCAGGGCCTGGGAGGACACGACCTCCCTCACGGCGGCGGCCACGGCGCTCCGGTTGACAGTCAGCGTCTCCGCATCCAGCTGTCAAGATCAGTGTAGTTAATACCTCCACCCACACACATGGCGGCTGTGACAGTGTACACAGGGGGGGGGGGGAGGATACTGACCAGGCTGGTAGCGTTGAGGACACACAGACGGACCACAGTAGTGACCTCAGGATCCGGAGACAACAGGTCAACCAGGGAGTCTTGGCTGCCCTCCACACGACCTGCAACAGGACCACAGGTCAGCAGGTCACGTCCACCACACATACAGGTCAAAACATCACATGAAAGAGGGTCAACCTTGACAGGTACACGCAGGAGAGTACTGACCGAGGGCCTTGAAGAACCGCGGGGTGAGGCTGACGTTGGCAGCTGCGGCACAGCTGGCGATGACCTCTGCTGCACCACCTGCTGGGGTCACCAGCTGCTGCACGCCTCCACACTCTGCCTTCTTCAGCTGGCACGCGGTCAACGAGTCACTCGCCGGGCACAACGACGCTGTGGAAGGTCACCAGGTCACTAGCAGGGCAAGGAAGGTCACCAGGACACACAAGCAGGGCAAGGAAGGTCACTAGGTCACATTAGCAGGGCAAGGAAGGTCACTAGGTCATATTAGCAGGGCAAGGAAGGTCACCAGGTCACTAGCAGGGCAAGGAAGGTCACCAGGACACACAAGCAGGGCAAGGAAGGTCACTAGGTCATATTAGCAGGGCAAGGAAGGTCACCAGGTCACACTAGCAGGGCAAGGAAGGTCACTAGGTCACATTAGCAGGGCAAGGAAGGTCACTAGGTCATATTAGCAGGGCAAGGAAGGTCACCAGGTCACTAGCAGGGCCAGGAAGGTCACCAGGACACACAAGCAGGGCAAGGAAGGTCACTAGGTCACATTAGCAGGGCAAGGAAGGTCACTAGGTCACATTAGCAGGGCAAGGAAGGTCACCAGGTCACTAGCAGGGCCAGGAAGGTCACCAGGACACACAAGCAGGGCAAGGAAGGTCACCAGGTCACACTAGCAGGGCCAGGAAGGTCACCAGGTCACACTAGCAGGGCCAGGAAGGTCACCAGGTCACACTAGCAGGGCAAGGAAGGTCACCAGGTCACACTAGCAGGGCAAGGAAGGTCACTAGGTCACATTAGCAGGGCAAGGAAGGTCACTAAGTCACATTAGCAGGGCAAGAAAGGTCACCAGGTCACACTAGCAGGGCAAGGAAGGTCACCAGGTCACACTAGCAGGGCCAGGAAGGTCACCAGGTCACACTAGCAGGGCAAGGAAGGTCACTAGGTCACATTAGCAGGGCAAGGAAGGTCACTAGGTCACATTAGCAGGGCAAGGAAGGTCACCAGGTCACTAGCAGGGCTAGGAAGGTCACCAGGACACACAAGCAGGGCAAGGAAGGTCACTAGGTCACATTAGCAGGGCAAGGAAGGTCACTAGGTCACATTAGCAGGGCAAGGAAGGTCACTAGGTCACACTAGCAGGGCAAGGAAGGTCACCAGGTCACACTAGCAGGGCCAGGAAGGTCACCAGGTCACACTAGCAGGGCAAGGAAGGTCACCAGGTCACACTAGCAGGGCAAGGAAGGTCACCAGGTCACACTAGCAGGGCAAGGAAGGTCACCAGGCCACACTAGCAGGGCAAGGAAGGTCACCAGGCCACACTAGCACGTCAGGGAAGGTCACCAGGTCACACTAGCAGGTCAGGGAAGGTCACCAGGTCACACTAGCAGGGCAAGGAAGGTCACCAGGTCACACTAGCAGGGCAAGGAAGGTCACCAGGACACACAAGCAGGGCAAGGAAGGTCACTAGGTCACATTAGCAGGGCAAGGAAGGTCACCAGGTCACATTAGCAGGGCAAGGAGGGTCACCAGGTCACACTAGCAGGGCAAGGAAGGTCACCAGGTCACACTAGCAGGGCCAGGAAGGTCACCAGGTCACACTAGCAGGGCCAGGAAGGTCACCAGGTCACACTAGCAGGGCAAGGAAGGTCACTAGGTCACATTAGCAGGGCAAGGAAGGTCACTAGGTCACATTAGCAGGGCAAGGAAGGTCACCAGGTCACACTAGCAGGGCAAGGAAGGTCACCAGGTCACACTAGCAGGGCAAGGAAGGTCACTAGGTCACATTAGCAGGGCAAGGAAGGTCACTAGGTCATATTAGCAGGGCAAGGAAGGTCACCAGGTCACTAGCAGGGCAAGGAAGGTCACCAGGACACACAAGCAGGGCAAGGAAGGTCACTAGGTCACATTAGCAGGGCAAGGAAGGTCACCAGGTCACATTAGCAGGGCAAGGAAGGTCACCAGGTCACACTAGCAGGGCAAGGAAGGTCACCAGGTCACACTAGCAGGGCAAGGAAGGTCACCAGGTCACACTAGCAGGGCCAGGAAGGTCACCAGGTCACACTAGCAGGGCAAGGAAGGTCACCAGGTCACACTAGCAGGGCAAGGAAGGTCACCAGGCCACACTAGCAGGGCAAGGAAGGTCACCAGGCCACACTAGCACGTCAGGGAAGGTCACCAGGTCACACTAGCAGGTCAGGGAAGGTCACCAGGTCACACTAGCAGGTCGGGGAAGGTCACCAGGTCACACTAGCAGGGCAAGGAAGGTCACCAGGACACACAAGCAGGGCAAGGAAGGTCACTAGGTCACATTAGCAGGGCAAGGAAGGTCACCAGGTCACATTAGCAGGGCAAGGAGGGTCACCAGGTCACACTAGCAGGGCAAGGAAGGTCACCAGGTCACACTAGCAGGGCCAGGAAGGTCACCAGGTCACACTAGCAGGGCCAGGAAGGTCACCAGGTCACACTAGCAGGGCAAGGAAGGTCACCAGGTCACACTAGCAGGGCAAGGAAGGTCACCAGGTCACACTAGCAGGGCAAGGAAGGTCACCAGGCCACACTAGCACGTCAGGGAAGGTCACCAGGTCACACTAGCAGGTCAGGGAAGGTCACCAGGTCACACTAGCAGGTCGGGGAAGGTCACCAGGTCACATTAGCAGGTAAGGGAAGGTCACCAGGCCACACTAGCACGTCAGGGAAGGTCACCAGGTCACACTAGCAGGTCAGGGAAGGTCACCAGGTCACACTAGCAGGTCGGGGAAGGTCACCAGGTCACATTAGCAGGTAAGGGAAGGTCACCAGGCCACACTAGCACGTCAGGGAAGGTCACCAGGTCACACTAGCAGGGCAAGGAAGGTCACCAGGCCACACTAGCACGTCAGGGAAGGTCACCAGGTCACACTAGCAGGGCAAGGAAGGTCACCAGGCCACACTAGCAGGTCAGGTAAGGTCTCCAGTTCACTCTAGAAGGTCACCAGACCACACTAGCAGGTGAGGGAAGGTCACCAGGTCACACTTGCAGGTCATAGAAGGTCACGAGGCCACACTAGCAGGTGAGGGAAGGTCACCAGGTCAGGGAAGGTCAAAAGTGTGATAGGGAGGTACGTACTATCCAGTAGAAGGGAGGAGGGGGGTGGTAGAGGCACCACACCCCTCACCACCATCACCACCACCACCACCACCACCACCACCCGCGGCTGCTGGGTCATCTCACCAGTAACTTAACACAAATTTTAACAAATTTAGGATTTTCCTGTTGAGCT